CACCAGAACAAAACAAATAAAAGGAAGTCAAACTTTGCCATCTTGTATTCTGTCTATTAAGGTAAAGTGAAGATGCAACTTAAGTAAAATCACAGAACTGCTACAGAAATATATGATGTATTACTTCATATTTTATGTATATTTTTGATTTCTTATAACCATTAATATTGAAGGAAACAAGAGCATCAGTAAAACTTCCTAAATTTTCGATGAAAAACATCCTCTGTTGTTGCCAGTAAAACAAGATTTTTTTGTTTTGTACTTTGCGGAAGTACTAAAGAACTTTCCACTATGATACATTCCAGACAACTTCTTAATTCCACAGAAAATTCCGTGAAATGTCAATGAAATTATTTACAAATAATCTTGTCCATCGATATTTCATAACATTTTAAGTGAAAAATTCACCAAACTAATCCTCTTTTCAAAATTATTTCCGGGTCTCATACTGTGCAAATATTTACATAAGTAATGAGAAAAGCATGTAAACGCCGTGACAGCGCTGTCATATGTAACAGAGCGATCATATTTTATCAAAACCTGTCTCATGACAAGCCACACAAATTGCCCGAGTTGTTTTAAAAAAAGAATACCAGCCAAAGAATCTTTATTTTGTAATTTAATTAACTTAATGGTGCTTTTACATGAATGTAATGTATAAATTGTGAAAGCATACTTCGACACGCTGTGCCAATATCCATTTCCTAGTTGATTACAGTGCTCTTGAAGACGATGAGCATCCACAAGTGGATTTTGTAAGAAAATCATTGTGAAAAATAACATCTGTATAAATCGCTTTTGCTGAAATATTCTTAGTAATTTTCACAATTTTAATGCACAATTAAAAATTTCTTATACTTTGTCTACAAAGAATTCCAGATGGGGGGGGGACTTTGGAATCGCCAGGGGCCCTGGGAAAGCTTCATCCCTGCCCCTGCTTACCCTATCTATCTTACTAATGATCTTACTCTGCAGTTTTTAGCTGAAAATACCAAACGTGGCTAGATTGAGAATGTTCTTGAAGAGTCACAGGGGGCATGAACCACTGAGAAATTTTTGATTTCGTAAAACAGTGAATCAAATGACAAATAACCAAGTTGTCCTTTAACTTTTACCACTTCAACCCAAGCGACTTCAATTCAGATGGTTGAACTGCAAACTTCTGTTTAGCAAAGGACTGTACATGGATGACGTCAGACGACTTTGCTCTTTTTAATCGGGTATATCAGAAGTTAAAATTGTTTAAAAAAGAGGAAATACCATGGTGAATCGTTAAAATAATAACGTAATAATTCTTAAAAGAACTGTTTAAAACCAGAACACTAACCCAACAATTCTAAAAGAATTGTTTTTAAAGCTGAAAGACACTATGCATTTCGGCAGACTACTCATCAGAGAAAAAACACTTACAGGCAATATACACATTTACTTTCTTTGTGTGTCAGCAGTATTAGCTACGATAGCAAATGTGTAAACACCACTGTTTGATCGACATTCTTTAACATCAGAGTTTCAGGTTCAAAAACTTGAAATGTTAAAGGTGGAGAATCATATCGCGGTTCACCCTTACCAGTTATCGTTACAAGTCGTTATGCAGCAGTAGCACCACGAGGGATAAAGGACCAAACACGTGCAATTATGGATGAGGTAATATCAAATCTCCAAGTTATATTGTGAGAAGATCCTGGTAAAAATACAAATTTTTCACCATCCAGGTGGAGATATTATTGAACCTAAATTTATTAATTGGATATTGCTACATCAAAATTAAATCATTTGTGGAAAAACATAGACGCACAGAATTGAAGTTTTTGATATTGGTCACAAATACCAAATATTTCTGAAATTGATGGAACTGCTTTCAACTTTTCGTTCTTTATATACGGAAATATTAGCGCCTTTCCCATCATTATACACCACAAGTAAAAAATATTGATTAATCCATACGAAATTCAGTGACATGTTCATATAAATGAAAGTATACGTTTGAATGAATGAATTGCTTAATTCATCTTTCTTAAGGTAGAAGTTACATGATTCAGTTTATCACTTTATCTTCAACGTGAGAAAATTGCTCCTATTTTCATCAACAACAGGTAACTTTCTTTTTTCAAAAGGTTTTCAGGTCTCATGGTGTGCAAATATTTCTTTTTTTCATCGTCATGATACATTTAATTCACATTTAATTCAAGACCACTGAAAATCTTTTTTGTTGACTTTTGATGTTGTGAATTTGTGATAAATACCTTTTTGGTTATTTTTTCATAACTATTGACTGCAGTTAATGTCTGTAAAACTATTCCCATTGTAACTAGTACACAGAAGATAAAACAAAACATTTTTCATAAAATAAAATATCATTCACAATATATCCCTAAATACAGCGTATGTTCTTCACCGGCGGGTGCTCTAATACTTAGTAACTGCTGACGACGATATCAAAGAAAAACATCTTTAGGCCTTTAAACGTAAATGTATTATAAAGTTAAAGTTATTGCTCTTGTTGTTTTAGCATTCAAATTGCGAATGAAATATCCAAACGTTAACAGTTTTATTGTTACTCTCGAATGATGGAGGTTTTTGTATGTCTGGAGCATTGCGATATTAAACAGTCGGGATTCTCCAGTATATTTGTTTATATTTCAAGTATTAAGACGGTAAATTTTCTAAAGGTCCCCGCATTTTTGAGGCTCTCTTTGTGTTGTCGAACAACCCACTAGCCCTGTATTAAAAATGAGACCATATAAACTGTAAATAATTTTTGTTACGATTGGCGCTCCATTGTAGATCACTAAAGGTGTTCTTAACTATCCAACTATGGTCTTCTCTTAACTAGAAGGGTCTCAAGGCATTCCCTAATCAAAGACAAACTATGAAATTTGCTATTTAGGTTCATCAGAAATAAGATTTCGTGCTTTTTCAGGGCCTTTCCGTGATCCTGTTCTAAACAATTTAGTATACACAGGAAACAAGTCAGGAAGGCAGGTGTATAGTAAGATAAATAGAAAATACTTATTCAAAAACAGTATTACCATACACTGTTATCAAAAACAACTAATGAATGAGTCAGAAAGACCAGTGTATTTTCTCATCCAAAAATGCCTTCCTTCTGGAAATCATAAAGTATTGGCAGCTCCAAAGGGAGGAAAAGATGCAAAATTCAAATCTTATCAGAAAATGTAAATGTTCGTAAAAGCGCCATTGTGTATTTACAACATGGAAAATGTTTATAAACACATGTTTAGAATAACAAATTACTGTTCTCATAATTTCTTCTTTCATCGGCTATCTCGTACTCCGATTCATTATTTTTTTTGCAAAGATTCATAATTATTATCTTCTATATTCCTTTTCGATATGTCCAGTTCTTGATAAGTTTTCTCAACTGTGTCATCCTTTGGTCTCAATGATTGCTAATTATCTTCTTTATTCATTTTTAATGAATCCAATTCTTGATAAGTTGTATCAACAGAATTTTTCCTAACTTCAGATGGAGATTGAAATTGTTGACGTTTTTTACTTAACAAATGTTGACGATAACGCAAAAAAAATAAAATCGAGATGAAAATTCCAACGATAATTCCAGATGTTAAGGTTATTAAAATAATGTACCACTCTGTTTTGTACTGTTTTATTCTCTCTTTTTCGTCATCACAAAGAACGTTGTCTAGAGAAGAAGCATAGAACTTAAAAATATGGAAAAAATCAAAAGAGTCTATCTGTATACAATACTAAAATACATATGATAATAACATTGGAGCATTTTGATTGAGCATTGGATAGATTGAATTGAACATTTCCATTAAGTCTAAGGAAAAGGTCGAGATGTTAATTGCATTGTGTGGATAGAGCTAATTGAACAGAAAGAGCTAATAGTATTTTAAACATAAATATGATTTTAAAGCATTGTAAATAAATTACCTTTCGTGTTGCAATCGGTAGATGAATATTTTGAAAGGGAAAATGATGTTGGAGATTCATATGTTAACACATTTATTGGAAATCAACTCAAATTATAATGTCAAAGAGATGAAAATGCTGACAGAATATTGAATGAAAGATATATCTATCGAAAAAATGATAATAATCGACCAAATAGAACAAATCAAATGAAAGAGTGAAACTCATCTATCTCAAAAATTGATGAAGTAAGATTTTATTATCATTTGCGTTCAAATGGTAACTGCCCCGAATTTTTCGCGTTTGTTCACGTTTCAAACGTCACGTTTGTCAGGCGAAACGTCGGGTTTCAAATTAGAAACGTAATGTATGCTTAGGAAAGTTTAACGTTTGAGGAACAAATTGAACAGGTTTTGGTCATGTGATTAACATGTTTATACGATTTTACAATGATAAAATGCTGTAGCAACTGAAAATTACATCTGTGTACCTTAAGCGATTTGCAAAGTTTGATAATTGACCATATAATATATGAAAGAGCTGATTCAAACTTAGAAATCCGCGATTTGAACAAACGTAACGCTTACAAGATGAAACCCGACGTTTCGTCTGACAAACGTGACGTTTGAAACGTAAACAAACGCGAAAAATTCGTGACACTTAGCAGTTGATAATTTTACCTTTGATGAAAGTAGCATTTTAATTTTACCTTTGATGATAAAAAAGATTGTTTACATCAGAAAAATCATTTCCCAGCTTATTTGTTGCTTCACAACGATATGAACCAGCATTACTGAAGTTGAGAGAATTAATGATGTATGTCTTTTTATTACTGATAACTGCACCATTATGATAAATAGTGTAGGTTGGTTCAGGATAACCATCTGATTCACAGGTTATTGTCACATTTTCACCTTTTTTTTTACTGGCATTGGACTGATTGTGATATTGGTTTGTTGTGGTGGATCTGTAAAGAAGAAAATTAAATTCAATATTCTACACAAACGTTTATAATGAGATCTGAAATGCTGTCTTAATAATTCCAGTTATTTAAGCAATTCACGCCAAGTAATCTATTTAAATTAATGAACTCTAGGCAATTTACGTTTATAAACACTTTAATGATTATACTGGGGAATACAGATAAGTTAAACATATTTTTACTGATAGTCATTGAAGAATATATATTCATAAAAAAAAATGTTATGGTTAATGCAGCATGCAGACATTGCCAGTCTTTGTTTTACCACACGAGCCAGTAAAAAGTTATGTAATCAGAGCAATCTTCGTTGTTTACTGAAATTTTATTGTTATAAGGGTATTCAAGTGCATTCAAGAAGTCTAATGCTAATTACAATAAGATAAACATCGGTCTTTCACCATTTGCTACCAAGAAAGTTCGTACATAATGCAAAATAAAAGTCCAACAAGTGATAAACTGAGGTTCTTAATTTTACCTTCGTTGTTAGTGGAAGTGGGATTTATATCTCGGTTGACAGTGAGATTTTTAACCTCAGATAAATCATTTCCCAGTTTATTCTTTGCTTCACAACGATATGAACCAGCATCAATGAAGTTGACGGAATGAATTGTGTGTGTTTTTTCATTGCTGACAACAGAGGTGTTATCAGTACCATTGTGGTAAATGGTGTAGGTTGGTTCAGGATGCCCATCTGACTCACAGGATATTCTCACATTTTGACCTTTTGTGGCTGGCATTTGACTGATGGTAATATTGGTTTTTCGTGGTCGGTCTAAAAATAAAATATAATATTCACACACACCAGCTTCCACAGTAACGTATTTGAAAAACTAAAACATCTATAGCAACAAAAGTATAAATATAGAAGTTGAAGACTTACATTGCACTACTATTTCAATAGACTTCTGATCTCTAAAACGTGGATCATTATAACTTTGTGCTTTACATGTGTAAGTTCCACCATCATTCACTGCAACATTAGTGATTACTAATGTCTTATTTACAACTCCAACATCACCAATTATGTTGTTATCTTTATCAAACCATGTGACATTAGCAGGAGGGATACCTCCTTCACCTCTACATACACATGATACATTATCACTTTCATTCACAACCAGAGGAGTTGAACAATTAATTACTACCTTTGGTTTCACTGAAATTTAAAACAGAAAATATTCCTTTCTTAAATTAGTTATGAAAAAGAAAATTTATAATGAGAGTAGTCGTTAGTGTTAGGTGCATTTTTTTAGGACTGCTGGATCAATGCCCTAACCAGTCACAAGCCAACAGAAAGCCCGCTTATCACTGGCTAAAAGTCCAGATTAGTGGAAATTTTCCACTAAACTGCTATCCAATGAGATTTTTGGATTAAATCACAGAATTGTGAAACAATTTGCTTAATAAAAATCTTATTTGTAAAAAAGACTTTGATGTTGGAAAAGAACAACAACGTAACAATAATCACTCAAACTTCAAGATACATATTAATAATAATTTTTGAAATTTTAAAAGTCAATCGCGTGACCGACTAGACATAAACAATATTGACTTATTATGAAGCCTAAACAACTATCGTTGGTCTTCGAAGAGCTATAAACAAATCATAGTCGTCTAAGGCTCTTGATAACCTATTTAATGAGGATATGCAATCGGCAAAGTTAAAAGCTAGGTGACGACAGATGCATACGTCAGCGCAGCAGGCAGCAAAGAGGGCATTGATGCCTAAATGTCAAACGTTTATAATGAGATCTGAAATGCTTTCTTATAAAACTTACAAGTAGGTTTCACTGTTACTTCTATTGGGATATAAACGTATTATTAGAATAATATGATACCGGAAATTCATATCTATAATGATGATACATGATTGGATAATTAATCATGGACTTTGGCACTAACACTTATATATATATATATTAGGTTCTTTGTCTTGTTGACATTCTATATCTTTTAGTATTCTTATTCTGTTCTATTGCATTGCACGTTGTATTTGGTTATGTTATATTAAAATGGTTACTTAAACATTATAATTCTAATAGGTTATGGGCCCAGGACGCAAACTGTCCTACTAAAGATAAGTAATTTAAAACTTAAGCAATGTCTTTATCGGATAGCGCTCTTAAGTTCGCAAAATTGAATGGCACGAACTACCGGTCATGGGCTTTCAACATGCGGTTATATTTGGAAAGCATGGACTTGTTTGAATTCGTCGAAGGTAGTGCGATTGCTCCTAACGACGATGCCGGTGCTGATGTTCGAAGGAGATTCAATTCCTCCGCGAAAAAAGCATGGACGTATATTTGCTTGGCTATCGAGCCGGATCAGCAAGTGCACGTGAGAGAAACGATAACGGCAAAGGAAGCATGGGACGCTTTGAAAAGTCAATTCGCCAGGGAATCGTTACTTCAAAAGGTTCGTCTTCGCCAGCAATATTATTCGTCAAAATTTCATGTTGGAGGGAATATGTTGGACCATATAAACAACTTAAAATCATTACACGAGCAACTAAAAGAAATGGGCGCAAGTATCGATGATAACGAACTGGCAATGACCCTGTTGGCTAGTTTGCCAGATAAATATAAACCATTAATAACGGCATTGGATGCTGTTGGTGAGAATGAACTTTCTTATGAGAAAGTGAAAAACATGATACTAAATGATGAAGACAGAGCCAAAGATTCCGAGACCAGAAAAGAGGATGCATTTTCCGTGCAACGTAACAAGTTTCGAGGTGGGAAACAACGCGGTGGTCAGAATGAGAACATTTCTAATCGAAAGAAAGGCTTTCGTGGCAAGTGTTTCATTTGTGACGAGAAAGGGCATCTAGCAAAAGACTGTCCGCAGAAGAAGACGAAGCAGTTTCCAAACAGTGGCAACTCTTCAATCAATAAGGGACACAAGTCTGCTCAGCTTGCAGAAAACGAAGAAAATAGCGAGATCGATAATGGTGATGCGTTGATTTCAAATTCATCAAACATGACAAGGAATTCAGATTGGATTATCGACTCCGGTGCAACGCAGCACATGACTTACGATTTGGAAGGCTTATGCAATTACGTAGAATTTAAGCAACCGTGTGTAGTAAACCTTGGAGATAACCGCTCTATTTTAGCGTATGGCAAAGGAACTTATAAGGTAAAAGCTATTCTCGGCGACGGAAACAAAAACATCTCGTTGCAGGATGTATTGTATTTACCTGACATAAATAGAAATTTATTATCTGTTCGAGCGATGATAAGACTTGGAGCTATTGTTACTTTCGAAAACGATGTTTGTAACATTCGACGAAATTCAAAACTGTTAGCAGTGGGAGAACTACAAGGAAAACTGTACATTTTGAAAATTGTCGAGCATTATATGAATGTTGCAAAAGAACAAAGCTTTGATTCAGATTTGAATTTATGGCATTGCAGATTGGGACATCTTGGAATAAACAATGTAATGAAACTCGTCGAGAATGATATGGTCGATGGAATAGGCAATGTAACAGGTGAAAATCAGTTTTGTGAAGCTTGTGTGTTGGGAAAACAGCATCGTTGCTCTTTTCCAAAAGGCGTTTCACAACGAGCTAAGGAACCGTTCGAAATTATACATAGTGATGTATGTGGACCGATACAAGAGAATTCCATTGGTGGATCTCGATATTATGTCTCCTTTATCGATGACTACACCAGATATGTACAAGTATACTTTTTGAAGAACAAGAGTGAAGTTTTGAAAAAATTTAAAGAGTTTTTCAACTATGCAAAGAATATCTCTGGTAAGCAAGTTAAGATTATACGCACAGACAACGGTGGTGAGTATCAATCAAAAGAATTTGAGTCGTTTTTAAAGGACAATGGCATCACACATCAAACAACTGTTCCGTATAACCCAGAGCAAAACGGAGTTGCAGAACGGATGAATCGTACGATAATGGAATCAGCAAGAAGTATGTTGATGCACTCACGTCTACCCAATAAATTCTGGGCTGAAGCTGTAAATACAGCAACTTATCTTCGAAATAGAAGTCCAGCAATTGCTTTGGACGGTATAACTCCTTATCAGTGTCTATTTGGGATAAAACCTGATGTAAGTAATCTGAAAGTGTTTGGCTGCATAACATATATGCACATTCCTAAAGAGCAAAGGAAAAAGTTGGATGCAAAATCTCTCAAGACGATTTTCATGGGTTATCCTGATGGGACGAAAGGGTTTAAGGTATTTGATCCAATATCGAAGAAGTTTTATAAAAGTCGTGACGTTATGTTTCTAGAGCAGCAATTTTATAACTTTGAAAACAAACAGCGTGAGCAAAGACTCATTGAAGATGAAGAAAATCGTGATGTACATGATGTTCATGCAAATAGCAATGATGAAAGCCAATCAATAGAAGATCGAAATGCTGAACATGAAAACGGTAATGTTGATGCAAGAGAAGTAGATGATTGCAATCGAGTGAGAGAAAATTCTTACGAAGAGAAATTCATGAATGAGGTTAGACAACTCAAAGGTGAAAGGATACGAAGAGCACCTCAAAGATTCGACGAAGAATGTTACACAGTCAGCGACTTAACTGCAGACATCAGTGAGCCCAACAATATAAAAGAAGCAACAACTGGAGAACATGCGAATGAATGGAAGAACGCGATGATCTCAGAATACAATTCGTTGAAAGATAATCATACTTGGGATTTAGTACCTTTACCAGAAAACAAAAATGTAATCGGGAGTAAATGGGTTTACAAAGTAAAAAGAAAAGCTGATGGTTCAATTGAACGATTTAAGGCAAGATTAGTTGCTCAAGGTTATGCTCAATCATATGGAGTAGATTACGAAGATGTGTTTGCTCCAGTGGCAACATATAATACGATCAGATCATTATTGGCTGTGGCAACCATGTGTGATTGGGAAATACATCAAACAGATGTAAAAACTGCATTTCTTCAAGGAGAATTGGAGGAAGAAATCTATTTACGGCAGCCTGATGGTTTTGTTGACAAAGATCATCCTGAATATGTTTGCAAGCTTAATAAAAGTATATATGGGTTAAAGCAAGCTGCAAGGTGCTGGAATGCCTCTATCGATAAACATTTGCTTTCAAATGGGTACAAGAAAAGTTCAGCAGATCCTTGCGTATATGTCAAATCCGTAAAGTCCAAAAATGGCAAAATTAACTTTGTCATAATCGCAATATATGTTGACGACATGCTCCATTTCTCCAATTCTATTGAGATGTTGGAAAAAGAAAAGTCAGGAATTGCAAATAGATTCCATGTTGAAGATGTTGGTGAGATTCATTATGTGCTGGGGATGAGTATAAAACGAAATCGAAGATTGCGAACATTAACCATTAATCAGGAGAAATACCTACAAGGAATACTGAAAAAATTCGACATGCAAAATTGTAAAGCAGTCTCAACACCACTTGAATTTGGAAAGAAGTATGAAGTGTTAAGTGAAGGTGAGAATCCAGTTAATGTGAAGCAATATCAAATGGCAATTGGATGCTTAAACTATGCTACATTGATAAGTCGACCCGATTTAGCTGTTGCAGTTGGAACTTTATCAAAGTTTATGGCAAAACCAGGACTAGAGCATTGGAGAGGAGTTAAAAGGATCCTACGTTACATTCAAGGTACATTGGATTATGGTCTACAATTTACCACAGATGGCAATGATCCAATATTGTCAGGATATACAGATGCAGATTGGGGTGGAGATATAGTGACACGTCGATCTACTACAGGGTACGTATATCAAATTAATGGGAATACTGTGAGTTGGTGCAGCAAAAGACAGGGATGTGTTGCAAGATCAACAACAGAAGCCGAGTATGTATCTTTAAGTACAGCATGCCAAGAAGGAGTCTGGTTGAGAAGACTACTGGATAGTATCTCAATAATACAACAAGAGCCTACTATCATCTATGAAGACAACCAAGGGGCTATTGAGCTATCAAGAAATCCGAAATTCCACTCTCGGACAAAACATATAGATGTGGCATACCACTATGTGAGAGAAAGTTCACGAGAATATCATTTCTGTTAAATATTGTTCCAGTGAGAATATGCTAGCGGATATATTTACAAAAGGACTTAGTAAAGATACTTTTCAGAAATTCAGGAACATGTTAGGCATTATCAAGATTAAAGAACAATGAACATTCAACTGATTCAAGTATAATCATTAAGTGGGAGTATTGGGATATAAACGTATTATTAGAATAATATGATACCGGAAATTCATATCTATAATGATGATACATGATTGGATAATTAATCATGGACTTTGGCACTAACACTTATATATATATATATTAGGTTCTTTGTCTTGTTGACATTCTATATCTTTTAGTATTCTTATTCTGTTCTATTGCATTGCACGTTGTATTTGGTTATGTTATATTAAAATGGTTACTTAAACATTATAATTCTAATAACTTCAATAGATTTTTCATCTCTAAAACGTGGATCATTATAACTTTGTGCTTTACATGTGTAATTTCCACCATCATTCACTGTAACATTAGTGATTACTAATGTCTTACTTACAACTCCAACATCACCAATTATGTTGTTATCTTTATCAAACCATGTGACATTAGCAGGAGGGCTACCTCCTTCACCTCTACATACACCTGACACATTATCACCTTTATTTACAACCAGAGGATTTGAACAACTAATTATCACGTTTGGTTTTGCTGAAAACAAAAACAGAAAATTTTCAGTCAATATTCAAAATAAAGAAAATGAACATATGGTGAAAGGGTAATTGATAAAAAAAATCAAGTTTGTTTAGACATAACAACCCCATTAGGAATTTAGGAAAGCAACATTTTACATAACTTCAATAAGTTTTATTGACTATAGGAGAGCAATTGCCATGGTGAATGGACTGAAACCAAATAAAAAACCACGAAACCCAAGATAAAACCGAGAAAAAAACTAACCAGAAAAAAACAAAGAAAAAATCAAGAGTTCGGAAAAGAACTGTTTTAGAAAGTTAAGACACAGCAAAACAAATTGATCAAATCCTCCAACCGTTTGACAGAGGAGTGCATATCAGGCAATGGCGCGTTGTCAAAGGTCGGTAGGTATGAAATTATTGATGCTTTAACTTGTAAGCAAGTAAACAATGAGAAATTATAAGTTGGACTATACATCCACTGTTCAAACACATTTTTGGTAGGAGTGCATCACAACTCATTGATCGATACACATCCTGTAAAAGAAGAACTTGGAAATGGTAAATCCATCCTTGTAGCCACAAATGACCTTTTCATTACATACATATGTTGTTTGTCAAATGGATGTTTAAACGTCTGAAATCAAGTGGATTGAAAGAGCAAGAAATGCAAAGTCTAGCGTGGTTAATATCGAACGCAGTTACAAATGCTGCATGAGATTGGTAAGTGACCTTTACCATCTTCATTGTAAGACTAGTCGCAAAATTCATAGAAACCATCGCTATGCTTCTGACCGTGTACTTGGTGTGGCAAATAGAAGATTGCCATTCATTGAAATCAACGAAAGTTCAGACAGTGGAAGTATAAAAAAGTGATGAAAGAACTTCATTGGCTGATTTCACTTACGAAAGTTTGTGGCAAAGTCAAATAAGGACATTCGGTAAAACGAATAAGCAGAGTAAAACGACGAGCGGAACATATATAAGTAAACAGGTACAACAAAAACATTTCAATATAGGAATACTGGAGACAAGACACCGAAACAAATACTGAAGACATTATTGAAGCCAGCTGACTATTCAACAACATGCAAGATCATACCAAATAGTGTTTTTCATAACATGTGCTGTCATTTGAATTATGCTGACTTAGGGTCTGAAAATGAATTGAAAAGCCACAAAGAAAGAGTAAATATTTCTTTCAAACGGATTTCCAAAGAAATTATTAATTTAAGCAAATTGCTTTTATCTACAAACGAAACAGAGAGGTCTCATTTTGGACGTGCCAAGTACCCTGTATTCATTAGGCTACAACAGAAGAGCAACGCTTCAAATAATATTGAAAACAAAACTAAGAGCATGGTGCTTTTTATTGTGACGTCAAAGAGGTCGTTGAACAGCATGAAGAATTCAACAACACCTTGAAGAATATTTTACCTTTGACGAGACTATCACGAGACTATCCAGATTCTGGTTTTGTAAGTGTTGATCTTGTCTTTGCATTTTAGCCATTTCTTCTGTGTTGAAGACTAAAACTTCACTTACTTTCCTGATTGTGGACAGCAGGCTTGAATCTATATTCAACTCTCTCTTTTGTCCAAGAAGAACATGCTTTCAAACCGGTTGAAAATTACATTTTACCTTCTTTAGGCGAGGAACTAAGAAATCGTTGAGATATGAATGGCTCGCACATTTTTTTTGGCTGTGTTATTCATCAAAAGAAGATCGTGTTTATTGCTTATGATGTGTGCTTTTTTGGACACAAATTCCCAAGTAAATGCTCAAGACTAAATGTTCACCCTTTCGTCATTGGAATGATGCTGTAGGTAAATTTAGGCGACATGTTGGAACTTACATGGGAGGAAAATGGAACCACATGTTTCTACTTCTCCAATTTTGGATAATGAACGATCTCAATTGTCAGGTGTAGCTTGGAAAACGTACAATGGGCCTTTTCCGGACAACATCGTCAAAACACTGAAGCATGTATCATTTCCAGGATTTGAAAATATTAAAGTTAATCTTTGTATTTTAGGTAATGAATGTGAGACATAAATTTCAGCACTGAGGAATCTAAGAACCTATCAAAGGAGCTTTATGATAGAAGAGCTTTTAATTTGCTTGGCTTTGATGCAAATTTATGCAGAAATTATTTCTGACATTGAAAGTGTGATTAACAAGTTTGCTGAAGATAATATCCGTTTATTATTTTCTAAATGTGTCATTGATATTTACTTTCCTGCAGAAACTCGGAGAGCACAAATGTCTGCTATAATGCGCTTTAGGAATTCAGACTCTGAAGATGACTACCGCTAAGGTTGTCGAAACGTCAGTCAGCAACAACAAAAACAGTCTTTCTCAGGACTATGCCAACCTGGACGATCTACATTTACAAACATGTAACGATACTCCCGGGTTCAAACCATTTACTTTGTTAAAACAAATGTCTCGACATCAACCACGTGCGCGCGAAATTTTGCTTCTTTATCATAAAGTTCGGTGCACGTTTTATTTTCTTTCGTCTTGTTTCCGTTATCTTTGGCAGATCTTTCTGGTGGAATATCTTTTTCTTTCGTTTCATCTGTTTTGGGCAAATTCAGAATCAAGCTTTTAACATCAACATCTGTAAGCGTGGATAGACTGTTCTTTGTTCGGCGAGACATAATAGTGATATTACCAGTTGATCAATTGATATCAAATTTTATACCACAAAAATCAAAAGTGGTATCAATAACTAATTTTTTGTCCTATACTCAAATGTAGTAAAATCTGTGATACAAACACTTTAACATAGATTATTCAAATCAAAAGATACCCTATAGTTTCTTTTTTAAATTAAAACAGAACAAAACAAGTCTTCGTATTTGTCTTCGCTCAACGGCTCAAGTATTTAGCTATAGGATTCCAGACTGCGGTCATATATCGTAAAATTACGCCCGATGCTACAGCTACTCAGATTACATGAAAGGCTTGGATAACCCCGCTGCTAAGTTTAAAATAATTAATACAACTTACTTGCAATAAACACTTCAACAGATGAGCCAAAGGGAGCAGGAGCATGGATAGAAAATTTATAAACACCAATGTAACTTTGAGTAACATTCTTTAACATTAGAGTTGCAGGTTTAAAAACTTCAACATCTAAACCCAAAGACTTAAGGACTGATGTACGATAATGTGGTTTTTTATCATCAATTATTCTTACAATTACTTGAGCTGCAGAAGAAGGAGTGTCAAATGTCCTAAAGGTCCAGCTCCGAAAAAGAAAGTTTCCAATCTTATTTAATGTCCAAGTTATATTGTGAGAAGATCCAGGCAAAAATACAAATTTTTGACCATCAGGTGGAGATATTATTGTTCCTGAAATTGAAATTTAGCTAATATCTATGACTGATAAAAAGATAGTTTAGGTAAAAAATACATCTTCTACTAACATAACAAAAGTAATTGATGTTTTTAATTCAGGTTCTATTCAAAAATTGCGAATAAAAAATAAACTAATTAAATATTACTACTACAACAACTAAAAATACATCAAAAATCATTTAAGTAAAAAAAAGAAATGGATATTTGAAGTTAAATACCTTTGGCAAGACCAAGAAATGTGATCAATGTAATAGTCGAAAATACTAAATTTGTCTTTACCATTTTCACTAAAAAATTAAATGATGAATTTTAATGCTTATGATCTTTGAAAATAAAATCATGAGTCAACATGGTTAGTGCTGTGAAAATTCCAGTTTTCCAGCTGCGGCTTATCAATTCTGAACTGGTAAAAATAGTCGGCGCTGTGGCCCATCTCCTGTGCACAGAACTAAACATGGTGCATCAAAATAAATAGTAATTTCTACTGTAAATGGGCAACATTTTGCGTAGCAATATGTTCGATTAATTCTACTACAGAAATATCTTTATCATTGCAATAAATTTTTTGTGTTTTAATTTGCTTTATAAAATAAAAACAGTAAAACATGTGCGCTGATTGGTCAAAGGCTGAGTTTGCATTAGCCTGGGTAAACTGATTTTAGCTGAACCTCAATCAATTAAAGAGATTTTGTGAACCATTCACTAATGAACTTTGTGAAAAGAGAAAGGTTACATTAGCAAACAAGTTACCCAACGTGAAATTGCTTTATATGTAGCATTTACATGTGTGCTAGGGTAACCCTGAGGGTTAAGGTTTCCATATCAAATTGATAAGGTTACCACAACAGTTGAGTTATGTTTTTGTCATAAACCATAAAATGTTTGAGATAAGGTAATCCCTTTCAGTAGAACTATGTTCACATCATATCTAAAATAAAAAACAAACCCCCCTGAACAGATCACAGCAATTACAGGCACGTTACAAACGACTTATTCACAATACAAACAAACGATCAACCAAAAACATTACACTTCAAACTAATTCACAATGACAATACACAATTGACACCCACACATTACAACTAAAAACGTCACACCTAATTCACACATCACAATAAAATATTTCACTTCACACTAATCCACAATGACAATACACATTTCCTGTACACACAATACAATGACGTAGGAACCAGATAACAAATACGGCTAACCTGACGTTTACTCCTCATTTGACTCTGAAGATGACTACCGCTAAGGTTGTCGAAACGTCAGTCTACAACAACAAAAACAGTCCTTCTCAGGACTTTATTAACCTGGACGATCATCAATTACAAACATATAACGATACTCCGGGTTCAAACCATTTACTTTATATCTAAAATAAATTGCTTTCAAAGCATAAAATTATACACAAGATGCACTACATGATTTTACAGAGACAAACAATAAAACTAGAGCTATCCACCATCTACAAGGAAGTTTTCAAGATGGCAAAGAAGGTTTTTATTCTATGAATGTTAAGTCGTCATTGAAAAAAAAAACACTCAATGTGAACATAATATAATGAAAATGAATTTGAAACGATTTTCAGAGGTCTTACACTGAATTATGGATCTTTATAAATAGGCCTCAAGGAAGGCAAAATGTTTCATCTGCAATCATGTCTACAACATGCTGATGTTGCTGTCATTAATAGTAATACACAGACCTGTCAATGGTAGAGTCTCCCTACACAAAAAGATAGCCTTGCAAGTATGGTTACACTATTCCCATGTAAACAAGGCCCTTATTAGTTTGGTAACTAAACAATACAACAGGAAGTCCAAAAATATTTTCAAGAATCAAAGAAGAAATGAAACGCAACATACTCATTTAATATTTAATGTAGTGTTTCGTCTTGGTCTTTTAAAATTATGAAATTCAAAATGCATCAAAATTCTTAAAAAGTTTTGTTTAAAGCGACGTTAAGGTAAAGAAATCTTCATCAAAGCATACCAATACAAAAAGCTGTTGTATTTTTACGTATACACTTGTGTACCATATTATTGAAGGTTTTCACGAATTCAGACTAAAGCCTGGGCCACACTATCGTCTATATTGACGAAAACGAAAACGAAACGAAAATTCGTGCACGAAATGCATGCCAGACACGACGAAAAATTACAAGCATGTTTGCAAAGCCAAAACTTTTTTGGCCAATAAGCAAGCGGCATTTTTGACGGATTAGAAAAAATAGCGATCTCTAAAAGAAAAAGATTACTTTTTCTTAAGAAAAAGTTACTGCCTTTAAAGTTGAAAACAAGCAACAGCAAACGTCGATACTGGATTCGTCCAATTAATAAACGAGAGCCGAACAATGAAAATAGACACATAAAATACTTGCGAATGACGACGACAAATTTTGACTACATTTTGGATTCATTAAATGAAGATATGATCTTCGCACTTTGTTGTACAATTCAAGCAATTGTCTCATAAACCTGAAAAAATCAGGTTACTCAACGGGAATCGAACCCATGACCTCTGCGGTGCCGGTGCAGTGCTCTGACCAACTGAGCTATGAAGTCACACAGTGGTGAGCAGGTCAATTTTGTTGGGCTCATGTTTTCTCGTGAAATGAATGTTATATGAATGTTTTATGCAGTGCAGTGTTTGAATTAATGAAGATATGATCTTCGCACTTTGACAATTAAGCAATTGTCTCATAAACCTGAAAAAATCAGGTGACTCAACGGGAATCGAACCCATGACACAGTGGTGAGCAGGTCAATTTTGTTGGGCTCATGTTTTCTCGTGAAATGAATGAATGACATTGTCATGGGTTCGATTCCCGTTGAGTCACATCATTTTTTCAGGTTTATGAGACAATTGCTTAAATTGTCCAACAAAGTGCGAAGATCATATCTTCATTTAATTTCAAACACCGCAGGGCATAAAACATTCATATAACATTCATTTCACGAGAAAACATGAGCCCAATAAAATTGACCTGCTCACCACTGTGTCATGGGTTCGATTCCCGTTGAGTCACCTGATTTTTTCAGGTTTATGAGACAATTGCTTAAATTGTCCAACAAAGTGCGAAGATCATATCTTCATTTAATTTCAAACACCGCACTGCATAAAACATTCATTTTGGATTCAATTAGACCTCACATCACTAAAGTTGGCACACATCTTAGAAAATCTGTTAGCCCTGATTTATCGAAACCATTGAGTTCTATAATAACTGGAGCGGCTATCTTTACTGGGGCGAGGTCGCCAAAAAAATGGCGGCCAACGGACGTATTTCCGCTGAAATGATCGCTTTGCAGAAAAATAATATTCTCGACCTCCCCCTGGTGTATATAGTAAATTATAAAGAATTTTTCAAAAACCAACACGATATCGTTAGTTCCATATTCTGTGACGATATCTTTTGGCATTTCTTTATAATGCCAACACTTCAATCGTTCAATTGTTGGATGTCGTAGTTTCCACAAAAGGAACATATCGCTCAAGATAGACTTAGTTTTTAGTCCGTCAACGATTGAAAACTGAAAAGCAATTATACATGCACTTTAAAAGCCATAAAAATACATATTAAAGATCGTATTTTTTAAGACTGACTTGAACGCCAAATATACTGATGTTTTCCTGTTTTTGTTTATAAAATTCTGCATACTTTTCTAAAGTCTGCATGAAGTCGTAAATTTACCCATCTATTTGCAAAATAGTTTCCCTAAAGCAAAAAAGACCCTGCACACATTTTGCTCTGTGAGTAAGTATCAAAACGAAATGATCAGCCCCAAGAGTACCCATGATTTGGAGCAGAGCTTGCTTTGTTCTATTTGCTGACAACATGCAGGGAAGACCAAGGAGTAAAGATGACTGGAAGATGTTATTGACCAGGCAGAGTCTTAAAAAATTATAATGCTGTAAAGATAATTGATTTATCGTCTGCCCTATCCAGAGTTATTTAATTTGATCATGGTCAAATTCTAGGGATGGAGACAATGGATTCACTAAGGATGCCTTGAATGCTTTGAAGTTAAAGTTCATGAACCAAAGAAAGATGGCAAGGTTGTGTGTGTTTTGATGCTTAATGAAATGTCAATTCACAAAGATATAAAATGTGGAAAGCCATAAAGTCTATGTAAACATTTGTACTGAGATTGATGACTTGATGCAGATGTGAAGCATCAAACTGTATAAGCCATTGGGTTTTATATAACTTATGTTTAAATCAAGTCATATCTTTATCAAAACATTTTAGTTGAGTGTTGTATAAATGTTACTAATATCTAATGCACTACACTGAAGCATTAAAGATTCAGTGATGAAACTTTCAAAGTTACTGTACTGTATATTTCTTCATTATTACAGTTTTTGTTTCAAGAAACAGTTTGAGCTTATTTACCTAGTAAAGTACAGAATGGAGATTTATCATATGCATTATTGCTACTTTTTTAAAGAAAAGTTTTTCACTTTTCAAAGCTTTCCTACAAATTTTGCTTCTTATTTCTTTTCATGAGATTGATGATATATGGTTAATATAATCCAATAACTTTATAATTTCTAAAAGCTTTTAAGCTTCTAGAATAAAAGTACGCTATAGGTATTTGATTCATTTGGTTATATTGCCTTGCTATGACATATCTACTTGCACTTCATCATTCTTGTATGAACAAAACACCAGATGTGGATACTCAGAGAACAAAATGCACTACCAACTGCTTATGAAATTTATTATTTAGGTGAAAACTGTGTTAATCATTCAAATTGTGTACTTATTTGCAAATATAGGAAAAACAAAACAAAGTGAAAAGAAGGGTAGAAGTATTAAAACTACAAATGAATTATAAACACCATTGGAAGCACAAGTGTTTTGATGATTATTTGCATTTTGCCCAATTCATGTATCAATACAACAAAATCAAAATGTGCTACAACTTTACAAGTATTTGATGCAGTTGCACTTCAGAACATCACAAAAAGGTTACTTAAAGTACTTTCTATACAATATTGTTTGTTTTGATTTACCAAACCTATGCAGACTTGAGTCTTTTGAAATTTAATATGAAACTCAATTACAGAAAATCCGTAAATATCCAGAGATTTAATATTTACTTTTTAAAGAAACAAGTAAAATCCAACAATTGTGGCGAAAAGCCATTGCCCATTGCATCATGAAAAGAAGCAAAATAGCAATGATAACAAATAAGCTAACTTCTCTCTCGTGAACCGTGGAGATGAACTATGATATACTTTTTTGTATAGACTAAAGAGTTTAATCGATCAAACAAGTTCGACGTTGGTAAAAACGACGCACATCTGCATTCATACATGTGTAGCCGACATATAGCTCTTTCGTCGATAGTTATAAATGCATCCTCGTAGTAGCACATAACTGACAACCACAGTTGACTCGCTGTTATGAATTTGAGGTTTTTACCTTGATTTTCATCAAAAATTGCTTGACGAATCCCACACATACATTTTTTCTCTTCTCAGGAGGAGTGGAAATTGTGAAATTTTCGGAAAAGCGATCAATTTCGGTAAATCTCAGCGGCAACGGACGAAATCCGCCATTTTTTTGGCGTCAGCAGATATCTAAGGCCGCGCTTGAGATAGCCGCTCCAGTTATTATTGAACTCAATGATCGAAACCTCTTGCCACTCCGCCATGTTTGAGTACAAAGTCTGATATTATTAGCCAATAGTATGCGTTTTCGTTAACGAAAAAGGTCAAAAGTTTAATTCTTCTAATATGCACGAAAACGAAATTTTCGTCGAGTTTTCGTTCAAAATTTTCGTTGCGGCAGTTTTCGTTCTGATTTTCGTCGATATGGACGATAGTATGGCCTAGGGATAAAACTTATTTTCTTTCACAAACACAATTTTAGTATTGGCTAATTTTAGTTTGAACTAAGAATTCTCGATAAGAGACTCGTTTCAATAGCGCCTGTCGAATGCCATGAATATTTACGCCAAAACTTTACAGCAAAACAATATTTTCATTCAAGACAACAAGGACAAGTACGCTATTCCACTAAAAATACAGCAAAATGTAACATACCCATGTAATTTGGTTTTCTTCCGTGAGAATTTCAGAAAGACTCAATTTCCTGCTTCGCAACGTATGACGTACGTGAAGTTATGGCACGCCAAAAATAACAAAAGTGTATCGAGAATTCCAACCACAAGTCGAGAATCATAAGTGACATATGAGAAGGCAAGCACGTGTTGAGAAAATCAACCATACGTCGAGATTTCTGACTGGCAAACTGGACAGCGGTTGCGAAACGTATATTGTAAATACTTCGTGTCATCCATATAACATAACATGGTCTTCAGTAAACAATGGCTGAAGAAAATGGCGTACCGAATAATATCGTAGAAAATATTCTTACAAGACTGGAATTAGGCCATGACTGGACGTACTCTCTTCGCGCATTTCTCCCCAAGAAACTGGTGAAAGAGAGGTCAGGCGTTTTTTTACTGGAAGAAGAACTTCTTCAACATCACAAGCATCGTCTTCCAGGCTTGCAACCGGGAGACAAAATTCAACCTATCCAAATAACAGAAATTTTGTACGGAGGCACAATTTTCAAGGACAACGTCCTTCAAATGTTGGTCGCAAGAAAGCTAAGGAACCTAAAGTCAAAGCCATCGATAACAGGACCTTCATGCGTGACTTGGTACTGCTTGACGGACCTTCCATTCTTGTTGTCCCACGTCAGGGAGCGCGTCTGTATTTAATGGAGAGAGAGCATGTGATATCAGGATGTAGATTCACTAGAGGGATGAATGCAGCACAAGTAGAGATCACCATAATGGAGGCGTTTGATGGAAAGGTTCCTCCAGGTGTTGATATCGAAATACTGATGTCCATGCATACATCTTTGGTTGCTCCAACTTTGGCACCTGGGCAACAGGGCATTGATGGGGCAATACTGCAGCGGCTGTTTCAAAACAAACCAATTTATATTCGTCCAAGTGAACAAATAATTGTGTCTACACCTGGACAAAAACCTATATCACAGGTGGCAAATTTGTCTTTATCCTATTGCTGAAAAATGCTATTGTTAGTCACCATATTCCATGATTGATTGACTCTTTTATAAAGTTAATATCCAGTAGTCCATTTTGATGCAATAACACGTAATAGCAATGACATTATGAAACTTTTACATATTTCAGAAGGGAAACAATCAATTTAATGAGGAAAGTCCTATTGATTTAGGTACTATATAAAGTTTATATGTTAAATTGTCATATCATATTTATGGTTTGCACATTCTTCCAAGTAAGAGAAAATGACTTTCTTTTTCTAGAAATGGAAGATGAAAATGTCTTTAGATATTTTATGGGCAGAGGATGGTACAGTAACACCATCGGTGGCACATGGTAAAACATTTGATAAATCCTGTATTGTGCTCTAATAAAATTGTACTGTTGCTTTAACTAGTACACAAAAATCATCATTAGATACATCAGAAGATTGAAATTTGAGTTCTGCAAAGTCCTCCCTACAAGATGCTGAGTCAGACAACCTAGTTACATCCCCAATGCTACAATGTAAAAGATCAAGATGAATCCCAAAATTTGCTTTAATTAAAAATTGTTGTCGTTTTTAAATATGCACTAAAATTATCAATTTGTAGATGAATCAGAAGATATGATGAATTTTGGTTCCGTGACTTCTGCCCAACAAGTTGTTGAGTCCGATAACCTTTTGGCATCATCAGAGTTGCAGGGTAAAATATTAGGAATATCTTACGTAGTGCTCTAATTAAATTGTGCTGTTGTTTTTACTTGTGTATTGATATTATCATTAGATCCATCAGACAACAGGACTTTGGAATCTGCAACACCTGCCGAATGTCCACACTTAGAGTTAGAAGGCGCCAAGCATCCTCCGACAAGGACAAGTTGCCCCGCTCACTCTCCTGTTCGGAACCGCTTTCTTCACTTGTTTCGGCCTTCATTTCGGGTTCATATTGATAGGGCAGAACCTCACCCGGTTGATTTTCGTGTATGTCATCCATTACAGCAAAAAAACCCAGTAAAATACGCTTTAAATGTGTTGTAACGCCGTCAATCACAAAGTATATTGTATTGTTGTTTTGACTGCTCACCAGCCAATGACGTCCTACCGCTCGAGATAATTTTATCAAAATTTTCTCCAAGATGGCGAAATTTATAAAACTTTTGCTGCAAATATCTCAGCAACAAAATCTTTTTGAAAAAAAATTTTGCTATTTTAGTTGTTAGACATCACAAAGGTTCAAAAATGTGCCATAAAAATTTTCGTTGCCAATGTCCTTTAAATTTGCCAGAAGACACTACGCTGGCGCATGCGTGCTTCGTCATTAATCATAATCTTTTTCCAGAATGAAACTCAATTCGCGTTTACATGAGATTAAACTAAATTTCAATCCGGAATGAAAATAGGAATGAACTCGATCCCGATCGAGTTGTGTCTCATTCCGGATTCATGTAAAGATACAAGAGAATTTCTTTTGAAATGGATGAGTTAATTCCGGATCGAAAGCATTCCAGATTCAAGTAAATACCCCCTAACTAAACAATACAACCGGAAGTTCAAAAATATTTTCAAGAATCAAAGAAGAAATGAAAGCCAACATACTCATTTAGTATTTAATGTAGTGTTTCGTCTTGTCTTTTAAAATTATGAAATTCAAAATGCATCAAAATTCTTAAAAAGTTTTGTTTAAAGCGACGTTAAGTTAAAGAGACCTTCATCAAAGCATATCATTACAAAAAGCTCTTGTATTTTAACGTATACACTTGTGTACCATATTATTGAAGGTTTTCTCCAATTCAGACTAAAATTTGTCTTCCTTCATAAACACAATTTTAGTATTGGCTAATTTTTGTTTGGACTAAGAATTCTCGATAAGAGATTCGTTTCAATAGCACCTGTCGAATTCCATGAATATTTACGCCAAAACTTTACAGCAAAACAATATTTTCATTCAAGACAACAAGTACAAGTACGTTATTCCACTAAAAATACAGCAAAATGTAACATACCCATGTAATTTGGTTTTCTTCCGTGATAGTTTCCGAAAGACTCAATTTCCTGCTTCGCAACGTTTATCGTACATGATGTCGTTGTTGATTATGCAGTTTCAATGGGCGTATTTCATATTTCTGTGCATATATTCACTCAATATATTCACTATGGTAATTCAATGGCGTATTTTAATTGAAATGATATAACTGGAATGCTAAGTCGTGATCATTGAACCAAAAAAAATTGAATAAAATAGATGTATTCAATCAGTGTGCCCAACGGTGACCAGACTTTCTGAAAGTAAAAACCAAGTGAAGCTCCAAAACTTCCTAAAATCAATAAAAAAACTACCGAATTCGGAGATACAGTTGTTAAACAAATTCACAGGTTACGGCAAAAAATCAAAAGACAAATGCTAATAAATATACAGTAATCAACTCGTTCTTACATCAACTAAAATCATGAAGTCAAAAGAGATGAAAATGCAACAGAAGTATCTACAACGACTTATATTTACTGTTAAACTAACTGTAAATAAGTCACATTAAAAACATTGCCCAGTCTTTATCGGCCTAACTATCGATCAATACATTCAAGATCATCTATTAAATAGAAGGTATACATAGTCAAGCAACTTTGGTGAAAACCATTATTATTTTTAAGATGAACATGACATGAAATACAAAAAAAAGAATGATATTTGATCAACAAAAACAAATGAAAGAGTAAAATTCGTCCTTTTACCTTCGTTGACAGTGAGATTTTAAACTTTCCTGTTTAATCATGGCTTCGCAACGATAAAAAAGGACAATAGAAATGAAAAAAGTTGGTGCAACGGGACCAGACGGGACTTCGAGATGTGTAAGTGTGCATGGCCCTGCCCTGGAGAATCCAGCAGGCAGCACGCTAATTAGAAAGTTCAGATTAGTCTAATTTTCGCATTGATTTGGTAACCATTGAAATTTTCATTTTATAGTTTATATTTTTCTTACAACGGGAATCCGAGATATATAAGCGTGGCCCAGCTGAACTGATCAGTTACAAGCTATATACACGCTTATCCATCAATATCATTTCGGATCAGTGGAAATTTTCCACTAAACTGCTATCCAATGAGGTTTTTGCATTAAACCGCTGCATTATTAACCAACTTGCTTAATGAAAATTTCATTTGTAAAAAAGACTTTGATGTTGGAAAAGAACAACAACATAACAATAATAACTCAAATTTCAAGATGTATATTAATAATAAATTTTGAAAGTTTGATTTATAAAGTTAAAGTTATTGCTCTTGTTGTTTTAGCATTCAGATTGAGAATGAAATATCCAAACGTTAAAAGTTTTATTGTTGCTCCCAAATGATGGAGGTTTTTGTACATCTGGAGCATTGCGATATTTAACAGTCGGGATTCTCCAGTACATTTGTTTATATTTTTGAGTATTAAGACGGCTCTCCTTATGTTGTCGAACACCCCACTAACCCTGTATTCAAAATGAAACCATACAAACTGCAAATAATTTTTGTTACGATTGGCGCTCCATAGTAGATCACTAAAGGTGTTCTTAACTATCCAACTATGGTCTTCTCTTAACTAGATGGGTCTCAAGGCATTCCCTAATCAAAGACAAATTTTGAAATTTACGATTTAGATTCATCGGAAATAAGATTTCGTGCTTTTTCAGGGCCTTTTCGTGATCCTGTTCTAAACAATTTGGTATACACAGGAAACAAGTCAGGAAAGCAGGTGTATAGTAAGATAAATAGAAAATACTTATTCAAAAACAACCAATGAATGAATCAGAATGACCAGTGTATTTTCCTATCCAAAAATGGCTTCCTTCTGGAAATCATAAAGTATTGGCAGCTCCAAAGGGAGGAAAAGATGCAAAATTCAAATCTTATCAGAAAATGTAAATGTTCGTAAAAGCGCTGTTGCGACTTTACAACATGGAAAATGTTTATAAACACATGTTTAGAATAACAAATTTATGATTTTCTTCAAAACAAATTACTGTTCTCATAATTTCTTTTTTCGTCGGCTATCACGTACTCCGATTCATCATTTTTTTGCAAAGATTCATAATTATTATCTTCCATATTCATTTTCGATATGTCCAGTTCTTGATAAGTTTTATCAATTGTATCATCCTTTGGTCTCAAAGATTGATAATTATCTTCTTTATTATTCATTTTTGATAAATCCAATTCTTGATAAGTTGTATCAACAGAAATTTTTCTAACTTCAGATGGAGATTGAAATTGTTGACGTTTTTTACTTAACCAATGTTGACGATAACGCAAAAAAAATAAAATAGAGACGAAAATTCCAACGATAATTCCAGATGTTAAAGTTATTAAAATAATGTACCATTCTATTTTGCACTGTTTTATTCTCTCTTTTTGGTCATCACAAAGAACGTTGTCTAGAGAAGAAGCATAGAACTTAAAAATATGGAAAAAATCAAAAGAGTTTATTTGTATACAATACTAATATACATATGATAACAAGATTGGAATATTTTGATTGAGCAATGGATGGATTGAATTAAACATTTCCATTAAGTTTAAGGCAAAGGTCGAGATGTTAATTGCATTGTGTGGCCAGAGCAAAAGTTTGCTGTAAAAGAGCGATTTGCTTAAATTTTCTTTTAAGGATTTTTATCATCTCAGGTAGCGCATGCAAATTGAACAGAAAGAGCTAATAGTATTTTAAACATAAATATGACTTTATAGCATTTTAAATAAATTATCTTTTGTGTTGCAATCAGTAGATGAATATTTGGAAAGGAAAAATGATGTTGGAGATACATATGTTAACAAATTTACTGGTTGGAATTCTAGCCCAAACTTAAATGAAAAATGCTAAAATAGCTACACAGAAATCAACTCAAATTATTGGTTTGTTGTGGTGGATCTGTAAAGAATAAAATTAAATTCAATATTCTACACAAACGCTTATAATGAGATCTGAAATGTTTTCTTACAAACTTACAAGTAGCTTTCACTGTTACTTCAATAGATTTTTCATCTGTAAAACGTGGATCATTATAACTTTGTGCTTTACATCTGTAAGTTCCACCATCATTCAATGTAACATTAGTGATTACTAATGTCTTACTTACAACTCCAACATCCCCAATTATGTTGTTATCTTTATCAAACCATGTGACATTAGCAGGAGGGATACCTCCTTCACCTCTACATACACATGATACATTATCACCTTCATCCACAACCAGAGGTGTTGAGCAATTAATTTCCACATTTGGTTTCACTGAAATTAAAAACAGAAAATATTCCTTTCTTAAATTAGTTATGAAAATTAGTAATGAGAAAATTAATAATGAGAGTATTCGTTAGTGTTAGGTGCATTTTCTTATGAGTGTTCAATTAAACTGCTGCATTATTAACCAATTTGCTTAATGAAAATTTCATTTTTAAAAAAGACTTTGATGTTGGAAAAGAACAACAACATAACAATGATAACTCAAATTTCAAGATGCATATTAATAATAAATTTTGAAATTTTGAAAGTCAATCACGTGACCGACTAGACATAAACATTATTGACTTATTATGAAGCCTAAACAACTATCGTTGGTCTTCGAAGAACTATAAACAAATCATAGTCGTCTAAGGCTCTTGATAACCTATTTAATGAGGATATGCAATAGGCAAAGTTAGCAACTAGGTGACGACAGATGCATACGTCAGCGCAGCAGGCAGGAAAGGGTGATATGAGGCGTAAGCTCAAGAATCAATCATAATTGGGAGTGGTAGTCTTTCAGCAAAACGAATCTAAATCTCGCCAACAAAGAAAAATATATAACTATCTTCATTGTTCAGCACAATCTTGTACTATCGTGTACAAATGGGATGAAACTGAACAGTCGTAATTTGTTCATGTACAATGTAGAATACTAGCCCAAAAATTGATGAAGTAAAATTTTGATCTTACCTTTGATGATAGTAAGATTTTTAACATCAGATGAATCATTTCCCAGTTTATTCTTTGCTTCACAACGATATGAACCTTGGTGACTGAAGTTGACTGACTTAATAATGTATGTCCTTTTATTACTGATAACTGCACCATTGTGATAAATAGTGTAGGTTGGTTCAAGATAACCATCTGATTCACAGGTTATTGTCACATTTTGACCTTTTTTTACTGACATTGGACTGATGGTAATATTGGTTTGTTGTGGTAGATCTGAATAAAATTAACAAAATTCAATATTCTGTAAACGTTTATAATGAGATCTGAAATGCTGTCTTACAAACTTACAAGTACCTTTCACTATTACTTCAATAGATTTTTCATCTCTTAAACGTGGATCATTGTATCTTTGTGCTTTACATCTGTAATTTCCACCATCATTCATTGTAACATTAGTGATTACTAATGTCTTACTTACAACTCCAACATCACCAAGTATGTTGTTATCTTTATCAAACCATGTGACATTAGCAGGAGGGTTACCTCCTTCACCTCTACATACACATGACACATTATCACCTTCATTTACAACCAGAGGTGTTGAACAATTAATTCTCGCGTTTGGTTTAACTAAAGAAAGATAAGACAAATTGAAGACATCGTTTTACATAACCACTACCTAATAACTATACAGTGTAGAACAAAAATATTTTTAACCATGAAATGTTGAAATGTTTGTTACATCCTTTCATATGATGGTAAAAACTGTTTTTTTATTGTACGAATCATATTTTTATGATTTCCCAACAACACAACAGATATATGAAACATTTTAAGAGAACGACGATTGTTTTGAAACTAAACATGGGTTTCGGCCAGCTTATACCATCTTCAATACAGAGGAATGAGAAATATATTCATATGAAATATGTTACAGGTATCAAATTACTGAATAATTTAGAGATACGTAGAAATTGAAGATGGTGTTGATGTGATGAATTTGTTTGTTTGACTTTTTTAGTATAGAGAGCTTCTTTAAGTTTTAGAGTAAAATAAAAGGTAACCGATGTCCAGGATGCAAAATCATAAGTTGTTTTAGTTTTACATTGTAGTGAAGTGTGAAGGTGTTTGTAAATGTGTAAATTTTGTTGGAAGTTGTGTGTTCTTTGATGAGTGTGAAGAAATGGCGAGTTATCTCCTAAATAATATAAGGAGAATTACATCACGCAAAAGAATCGAAAAAAAAGGAAATAGTGTCTTTCAGTGGCTTTTATTTTGTGGGAGGAATTTGGCTTTAACCTGTGGAATTTTCTCAAAGGAATAAACTACTTTAATGTCCACATAATTACAGAAGCGTCTTGTACACTTTCGTAGTTTTTGCTGGGTAGTTTGTAATAGAAAGACTTGGATTTAGTTTCGTTAGAATAGTCTGTAGTTGATTTGACTGGTTTGTGTGTCTGGTTTTTCTTCACATTGAAACATTCGACAACTTTTGTTTATGAAGTGTAAACGAAAAAGAATTGCGTTTTCAGGTTTTCACTAGTGTGTTTACTTCGTTTTAGTAGCCGTTTGATGTACCGTTGATATTGCTTGTCACATCAAAACCAGATATTATCCCAAACTAGTCGCTATCTAAGGCTTAAATCTTTCCGCCCCAGTCATGTAAAAGATGCATAATCAGTCATTAAAGACGGAAATTTTCCATTACTCTTACACAAACTTCAATTTTATCCTTAATCCCTGAATTAATGCCTCCTCAATGTACAACAATACGCATGGAAAGGCCACTGTACAACTGACGAAGATGAATTTGAAGCAATTGATCGTGGCTGCTCAACTTTTTTGCAGACTTTTGAAAAGGTTTCAATTCAATAGACCAAAATATTTTACAACATAAGTTGGAAAATTGAACGTTTTACTAAGAGGATTACAGCTTTTTAAACTATACTTAACAACAAGCTGTAAGAATTGGAGATGCTTTGTCTGAATGAAGAGCCAATAATGGAAGAGGCACAAAGTTATGCGTCATTTTATTGCAATGTAATGAAAAAGAGATTTATAGATAAAACAAAATGGACATTTTCGAAGTGTTTGAGATTTCTAATCTTCTTTCTTTCATTTTATACTTTATATTTCATAACGAAAGCATTTTGTTTTTCGTGTATAAATAGCTCCAAAATGAACCAGTAATACGAGGATACTAAATGTACGTGAGTACTAAATGTTAAAAAGTTTCCAAATTTTTGATATTTATTCATGAGTCAGGTAACAGTTTTCCACTTTCCCAGTTTTAAAAGCTGTTTCAAAAAATATGAATCATTTTCTTTGATCAGTGATTTCAATGTTTAATTGGGTTTGATACCGTTTACAGGTTGAGTAAATTTCATTAAATAGTAACATTATGAAACATTATGTTAAGAGCATAATTTGTAGATGAGAGAGAATTATAAAAAGCTATTTTATTTAATGAGACCTTGTCATCGAATCTTTTTATAACACTTGAAATTCCCACTTTACCTGCTAACTTCTTCGCACTTACAATCAATGTTTCTAAACCTGTGGCAACTTCATAAGCACTACTATTGACAAGATCGTTAGTACAAACATGCATAATAATAGTACCATATTTATTTTGGGGGATCTCCAGGACATTTAACTGGATGTCCTTTACTTTTGCACCACTGAAGGAGTGGCAGGTAGATTTCCCTCTCGCTGCCTAGGAGATCTTTTGGATCTATATGTTTTAACATTGAGTCACCAATGATGAGAGTTGATGCCGCTGAATAATTCTAGTTTTTTGGTCAGTTATATCTTGGTCGTCATTAGGAATGTCAATTTTTGATTTGTTGAACTTTTCCTTCTGCTTTCAGCGGTAAGCATTCAGTTGGGACTGAGTTGACTGAGTGAGGCATACTTCCATTGATGGTTTTCTAACTGTCGGAGCTACGTGATTTTCCTTGTGGGATTTATCGTGGAGATTTCCAAATCTATTTACTAGACTCTAGTAACTAGAGGAAGAGGATTAGTTGTTGGTTTTTTGTTGATTGTCTTGGGTTGATTCTTACGATTGACATCTATCCAAGCATTTTGATTATTATCAAAGAGAGACAAGATTCGATTGTTGTCTTCTCTTAGCATGCTAATAAAAAATTTCAAATGGTCAATCTCGGCTGCCATTTTCGCGTTGTCGACTAGAAGAACGGCTTTTTCGGTACCATCGCTTTTCTATTTTTCTTCTAAAATACGTTGAAGAGTGAGGATTTGGTCGAGTTTACTTGCATTATCGTCGATGTCTAACTTTTCTGAAACAATTTTGTTATTGCTGGATCAGGGGCGGATCTGGAGTATGTCAAATCAGTCGCGCGCGTTGAGCTCTATAAGACCTGGAGGGGCAAAGGGGCCTGGGCCTCGTGGTCAAAAGCATGGCGGTAATGGCGGATTTTGGTGGTCAAAACTTCCACTTTAAAAATTTTTTCAATATTCACTCCCTCCTGATTTCTGTTTGTATGAACGAAAACAAGTGAGAAAAAAAACAATTACGATACCGACAGCATATCATGTGAAAATAATGCTTTAGCATTGCGTGAAAAACCCAGTACAGACACACATCAAAATAAAGAAGATCGACGGTAGAGAAACGCATATTTTGGATGTAACATTTAAGTTATTTTATGACATTTTAGCCTTTTAAAAGTGAAAATCAAACGGCATTCTTTACTAGACCTGTCAATCTAAATACTTGGAAACTAAAGTGCATTGGTTTCTCTGACAAAAACACTCTGTCTATTGCTGCATGAAGGCAAAATAGTTATTTGACAGTGTAGGTGAAGAAATTTATCAAGTTCTATAGATATTATTGTGCATTACTTACAGTTTTTTGGAATTGAGTAATATATGTCATGAACAAGATATAATTTTTCAAAAATGCTAACCCCTTCGAGCACTACTACTCTTCTGTTTTGCTTAAACAACTTACAGCTACCAATACTAATTATTTATATGTACAAACTAACATTTGGGAATTAAATGATAAACAACTTGTTAAATCTTTGTATTTTACATCAAGCCTTTGAATTAGTTCCTTTTATCTTTTGGTAAAAAAATATTAATGAAAGACTTACAAATCAAGTTTCTTGAAAATAGTATTTTGTACAAAGAAACTAAATAATTGGAAAGGTCACATGTTGAAGACAGACTTTGCTTCTTTGACTAGGTTGCTTGACCATGAGCAAATTTAAATTTGTTTACAATTTGTTTAAAGAATTCTTTTTATTGATTTCTACTAATTCTTCATAAGACACAAAGAATTTCTTTGCCATCTATTTTTGCTTCTTCTACATCCAACTTCATTGTAACCAATGCATCCGATGTGAATTTGTGGATCACCTGGAATCATAACAAGCATGGATTTGATGAGATGAGACAATAATATGTTTAATTTTTCATGCATATTAATGATATAATCATAATATGCAACAAATCTTAGCACATTGCTCAACACACTACTTTTATCTTGGTTTTGAAGTAGTAACCTGTTTACTATAACAATAAATACTTCATTTACAGAAACGCTAAGTACTACTTTAAAACTGTTTGCATAAATCCAACTTTCCAAACCCATTATAATTGTCTACACTATACATTCAGTCAAATTGAGCAGGCAAACAGCTTAATAGTTATTTTTATTATACAACATATACCATAGTTCTCATTAATTTTGCATGGCACTGCATTCAATTTCAACACAACTCTGTTGTAAACTTTCCCTTCATCTTTTCAAAAAAAACATGAACAAATTATGCCCCATTTTCGGGAGGTAAACTCAATTCAAATCAGGAGAGTTTAGCTTGATGCCTTGATCATGATACAAGATGGATGCAAAACTTGATAAAAATTGACAGCTTCGACACATCTGGGGAGCGATTAAGTGAAGAACAAACAAGACTGGACCAAAATAACTTTAAATTAAAACTTAGTAGTAGAAACACTCTTCAAGTTTTGTGTTAAAAACAAAATAGTAAAACTAATACTGTGCTACTTACCGGAGTCAAGAAATGTTCCCTTTTCTGTCGCTATTTCAGCATCCGCAAACCACAGAAGTTGGCAGTTTAATAAAAAAAATTTTAAAAAAGTGTTTATGTTAGGAAAATAAATAGTTTTGATATTTTCTATACTCGCAATTGTGGTGGTCAAATCAGGGTGGGCGACGAAAATTTTATTTCATGAGCCCGCGTCTCTCCGCTGACTTTGACCACCAAAATCCGCCATGTTTTTGACCACGCAGCCGCGCGCTGATAATTTATAGTAATTTTGCTGACGTTTCCCCTCCAGGTCTTATAGAACTCAATGGTCGCGCGACTGATGTTTGAAATTCAAAAATTACCTATTCATGTTAATTAAAAATTCATTAATTATTCTTACTTTATGATCGCATTTACTTCGTGATAAAAATCCAGCTTTATTTATTATTGAAAACTAATGACTGATCCAATGAATATCTCGTTGGTAACCAGATCAGTTGAATTTTAATTGACCTGGAATAACCGACTGATAAGCGGGGTGACTTGACTGGTTCGACGGATAAAGGAGTCTATGAACGCCAAAAACCCTTATTTTATTGGTCAATGGCCAGATCAGTGGACAGTCTGGAATGATCTTGACTGATAATAGGGTGGCCGGACGTATAAGGGAGTCCAATTGCTATCTTACAATTGGTTCATTTGAATTTTTGTTTTATTGTGATTGGTTTGACGGATTTCGACTGATAGCCAACTGAACTAACATAGTAAAGCTCACTGTCTGAATTGAATGTTTGATCGTTTCATAGTAATTTTTATAAGCATGATAGAAACTAAACTACAATCAGATGGAATTTATGGAAATCTTTTACAAATTCATATAATAACATGAATGCTGCTGTCGAAACTGTGAATTTTTTCAAGAGGGTGAAAAATTTATGGATAAATTGTAAATGCTTGGCAAAGACGATCTCGCGAGCGACATTTCAGTCATTGATGTTCAAAAGCAAGCCAACATTGTTTTGAGTTTTATCAGCAGAAATTTACATCCAAAATCGTAAGTAAAGGACAAGTGAAGTGTATGCATGAATGTAATATATCAAATGCTTCTAAAATTATTGTTGCCGAAGGACTTTTAGCTATGATTTCTTTAGTCTTTGGGGAATCGTGGCCGTTATATGGCAGCGAAATCCTACATTCATGCAAATATATTTCAATGGACAAAAAATCTGCAGCCATAAGGCGCCATACTATTATTTACTTTATCATAAACAAATGTTTGGGGCTTTTCAGTTTATGATCATTGATCATTCAATCATTGGACAGTTATACTACATATTGTTTAAGATTTAAGAAAACTAACATTGATTACATGAGAAGCTGTTTACTATAACCTGTGATTTTGAGTCTTCTGATCCATGAAGCTTTTTATTGTGACAATTTGACTGAAATGGTATTAAATTTGGCAAAATAGCAAAGTATTTTTCATGATCACTAGGTAATTTTTCTGATGATCATTATAATTTCTAAACTAAATTATTTCAGATTTACATTTAAACGAGCTTTGATCATATGAAGAGATATTTATCATAACCAGTAACCATGACACATGAACCAATTTTAACAATCATGTAATTATATAATTAAAGACATTTTGGTTACATTCTGTTTGTATTCGCAAATACAATGCTACTAGTGATTGCTATATAGCACACCTTGCATATACTTACAGGAGATAATAGTCTAGTGAAATGCCTAATAAAAATTTATGGCATTAAGCTGTCCTTAACTGCAAATTTTCACTCTGATAATTTTTGCTTAATTTTTGGTAGAAAAAAATTTTGAGTTTTTTCTCAAAAAGTGAATTTGCTGGCACTGATGTGGAGATGGGTAAAGGGTTACAATAAACTTGCATGGTTTGAAGTCTGAGCTTTTCTAGATCTATGAACTGTCACTTGTAGTACCAAATTTCTAACTTAACTCATTACATAGAGGTTTGAATGGGGGTCTCTAGGGGGGTCCATGCCTGACAACTTGGTAGAAATTTTGAAAGACTGTATCTGTTTTTGAATAGCATTATTGTAAAATAAATTTTACGTTGCTAGACATGCTAATGAGCCATATATTTGGCATGATAATGAGCCTAAATATTTGGCAAAACATTCAAGTATTGTTCACATTCAAGTATTGTTCACTTCGTTTTTTTTTTTTGAAAAAAACGTAAGCAAAATGTGTTGTTTTTACGCAAAAACGATGCCCACAAAATACATTTTGTATTGCTCTAAAACGCTGAAAATGGCATTTTCAAGGCTCTGAAATTCAAAATTTCTCAGAGGAGAATGCCTCAGACCCCCCCCCCAGGTGCGGAGCGGCTCCGACGTTTTATGACTGATGTTTGAAAAATCCTAGATCCGCCCCTGTGCTGGATAATATTAAAAGAAATGTCTCGACATCAACCACCATGTGCGCACGAATTTTTTGTTCTTTATCATTAGGTTCGGTGCACGTTTCATTTTCCTTCGTCTTGTTTCCCATATCTTTGGCAGATCTTTCAGATGGAATATCTTTTTCTTTGGTTTCATCTGTTTTGGGCAAATTCAGAATCAAGCTTTTAACATCAGCATCTGTAAGCGTGGATAGACTGTTCTTTGTTCGGCGAGACATAATAGTGATATTACCAGTTGATCAATTGATATCAAATTTTATACCACAAAAATCAAAAGTGGTATCAATAACTAATTTTTTGTCCTATACTCAAATGTAGTAAAATCTGTGATACAAACACTTTGACATAGATTATTCAAATCAAAAGATACCCTATAATTTCTTTTTTAAATTAAAACAGAACAAAACACGTCTTCGTATTTGTCTTCGCTCAACGGCTCAAGTATTTAGCTATAGGATTCCAGACTGCGGTCATATATCGTATAATTACGCCCGATGCTACAGCTACTCAGATTACATGAAAGGCTTGGATAACCCCGCTGCTAAGTTTAAAATAATTAATACAACTTACTTGCAATAAACACTTTACAGATGAGCCAAAGGGATCAGGAGCATGGATAGAAAATTTATAAACACCAATGTAACTTTGAGTAACATTCTTTAACATTAGAGTTGCAGGTTTAAAAACTTCAACATCTAAACCCAAAGACTTAAGGACTGATGTACGGTAATCTGGTTTTTTATCATCAATTATTCTTACAATTACTTGAGCTGCAGAAGAAGAAGTGTCAAATGTCCTAAAGGTCCAGCTCCGAAAAAGAAAGTTTCCAATCTTATTTAATGTCCAAGTTATATTGGGAGAAGATCCAGGCAAAATACAAATTTTGACCATCAGGTGGAGATATTATTGTTCCTGAAATTGAAATTTAGCTAATATCTATGACTGATAAAAGATAGTTTAGGTAAAAATACATCTTCTACTAACATAACAAAAGTAATTGATGTTTTAATTCAGGTTCTATTCAAAATTGCGAATAAAAATAAACTAATTAAATATTACTACTACAACAACTAAAAATACATCAAAAATCATTTAAGTAAAAAAGAAATGGATATTTGAAGTTAAATACCTTTGGCAAGACCAAGAAATGTGATCAATGTAATAGTCGAAAATACTAAATTTGTCTTTACCATTTTCACTAAAAATTAAATGATGAATTTTAATGCTTATGATCTTTGAAAATAAAATCATGAGTCAACATGGTTAGTGCTGTGAAAATTCCAGTTTTTCAGCTGCGGCTTGTCAATTCTGAACTGGTAAAAATAGTCGAGGCTGCGGCCCATATCCGGTGCACAGAACTAAACATGGTGCATCAAAATAAATAGTAACTTCTACTCGTAAATGGGCAACATTTTGCGTAGCAATATGTTCCATTAATTCTACCACAGAAATATCTTTATCATTGCAATAAATTTTTTGTGTTTTAATTTGCTTTATAAAATAAAAACAGTAAAACGTGTGCACTGATTGGAAGGCTGAGTTTGCATTAGCCTGGGTAAACGGATTTTAGCTCAACCTCAATCAATCGAAGAGATTTTGCAAACCGTTCATTAATGCACTTTTTTGAAAATTAAAATGCAAACCTTGAAAATCGTATGCAAACCTTGGAGATCTTTGTGAGAATACTCAAGCAGTTGCAAAACCTGCTTTGCAATGATCAGATCTTAAGTTCTCCAAAAGGTCTCCTCAGTTTGCATAAGCCTGTGGAAACATGGTAAACATTTTTCTTTCTTGACTTGATTGGGAAAGCATAAGATGAACATAAATACTGTTTCCTAAATATTGTGAATCATTGGATACATTTACCTCTCACATTACAATTATTGTATGTAGCCATTAGCATATCTTTAGTTGTGCTATGCGAATTATTCATGTGTTTACTAGCTGTAAAAACAGTAGATTTCAAACAAATGAGCAATGACAATGATCTAAAATTTACATAGCACAACCAAATTTGCAGGCTAACTTTCCTAATGTTCTTAACAAAATGAACTTGAAATTTAAGTCATTTAACTATGCAATTAAAGTATTTCTGTCTATACACAAACTATAAAAGAAACATTATTTATATATAAGGATTGACATTGCTTTAGCAAAATGAACTTTAGGAAAAGACAGTTAGCTGTACAGGAAAGTAATTTTGTGTAATTCTTAAGTAATAGTGAACAGAAATTCTTCTCTTTTCAACTAAAACACTTTAGTTTTGAATGAATTTTTATCTTTTACTAACTGTTTGTAACTATTGCAGCTGGCAGGGGCGGATCTAGGATTTTTCAAACATCAGTCATAAAACGTCGGAGCTGCTCCGCACCTGGGAGGGGGGTCTGAGGCATTCTCCTCTGAGAAATTTTGAATTTCAGAGCCTTGAAAATGCCTTTTTTAGCGTTTTAGAGCAGTACAAAATGTATTTGTGGGCATCGTTTTTGTCTAAAAACAACACATTTTGCTTACGTTTTTTAAAAAAAAAATGAAGTGAACAATACTTGAATGTTTTGCCAAATATTTAGGCTCATTATCATGCCAAATATATGGCTCATTAGCATGTCTAGCAACGTAAAATTTATTTTACAATAATGCTATTCAAAAACAGATAGAGTCTTTCAAAATTTCTACCAAATTGTCAGGCATGGACCCCCCTAGAGACCCCCATTCAAACCTCTATGTAATGAGTTAAGTTAGAAATTTGGTACTACAAGTGACAGTTCATAGATATAGAAAAGCTCAGACTTCAAACCATGCAAGTTTATTGTAACCCTTTACCCATCTCCACATCAGTCCCAGCAAATTCACTTTTTGAGAAAAAACTCAAAATTTTTTTCTGCCAAAGATTAAGCAAAAATTATCAGAGTGAAAATTTGCAGTTAAGGACAGCTTAATGCCATAAATGTTTATTAGGCATTTCACTAGACTATTATATCCTGTAAGTATATGCAAGGTGTGTTATATAGCAATCACTAGTAGCATTGTATTTGCGAATACAAAAAGAATGTAACCAAAATGTCTTTAATTATATAATTACATGATTGTTAAAATTGTTTCATGTGTCATGGTTACTGGTTATGATAAATATCTCTTCATATGATCAAAGCTCGTTTAAATGTAAATCTGAAATAATTTAGTTTAGAAATTATAATGATCATCAGAAAAATTACCTAGTGATCATGAAAAATACTTTGCTATTTTGCCAAATTTAATACCATTTCAGTCAAATTGTCACAATAAAAAGCTTCATGGATCAGAAGACTCAAAATCACAGGTTATAGTAAACAGCTTCTCATGTAATCAATGTTAGTTTTCTTAAATCTTAAACAATATGTAGTATAACTGTCCAATGATTGAATGATCAATGATCATAAACTGAAAAGCCCCAAACATTTGTTTATGATAAAGTAAATAATAGTATGGCGCCTTATGGCTGCAGATTTTTTGTCCATTGAAATATATTTGCATGAATGTAGGATTTCGCTGCCATATAACGGCCACGATTCCCCAAAGACTAAAGAAATCATAGCTAAAAGTCCTTCGGCAACAATAATTTTAGAAGCATTTGATATATTACATTCATGCATACACTTCACTTGTCCTTTACTTACGATTTTGGATGTAAATTTCTGCTGATAAAACTCAAAACAATGTTGGCTTTCTTTTGAACATCAATGACTGAAATGTCGCTCGCGAGATCGTCTTTGCCAAGCATTTACAATTTATCCATAAATTTTTCACCCTCTTGAAAAATTCACAGTTTCGACAGCAGCATTCATGTCATTATATGAATTTGTAAAAGATTTCCATAAATTCCATCTGATTGTAGTTTAGTTTCTATCATGCTTATAAAAATTACTATGAAATGATCAAACATTCAATTCAGACAGTGAGCTTTACTATGTTAGTTCAGTTGGCTATCAGTCGAAATCCGTCAAACCAATCACAATAAAAACAAAATTCAAATGAACCAATTGTAAGATAGCAATTGGACTCCCTTATACGTCCGGCCACCCCTATTATCAGTCAAGATCATTCCAGACTGTCTACTGATCTGGCCATTGACCAATAAAATAAGGGTTTTTGGCGTTCATAGACTCCTTTATCCGTCGAACCAGTCAAGCCACCCCGCTTATCAGTCGGTTATTCCAGGTCAATTAAAATTCAACTGATCTGGTTACCAACGAGATATTCATTGGATCAGTCATTAGTTTTCAATAATAAATAAAGCTGGATTTTTATCACGAAGTAAATGCGATAATAAAGTAAGAATAATTAATGATTTTTATTTAACATGAATAGGTAATTTTTGAATTTCAAACATCAATCGCGCGACTGATTTGACATACTCCAGATCCGCCCCTGCCAACTGGAAGTTAGTTTAGTTTTAAACTCGGTCCACAGAAAAGCCCACAAGCATATATTTATCACAGGATAAGAATTAATGTAGTTGTAAACGGTTTACACGTACTTTTACTATGTTTTAATGTTTTGTCAGTTGAATTTTCATACTATTGTCAATAAAGACTGTGTTGTGTATACTGTGCTGATGACTGCCAGTAACTAAACACCCCCCTAACTAAACAATACAACAGGACGTCCAAAAATATTTTCAAGAATCAAAGAAGAAATGAAAGCCAACATACTCATTTAGTATTTAATGTAGTGTTTCGTCTTGGTCTTTTAAAATTATGAAATTCAAAATGCATTAAACTTCTTAAAAAGTTTGGTTTAAAGCGACTTTAAGTTAAAGATATGTTCATCAAAGCATATCATTACAAAAAGCTGTTGTATTTTAACGTATACACTTGTGTACCATATTATTGAAGATTTTCTCGAATTCAGACTAAAACTTATTTTCCTTCACAAACACAATTTTAGTATTGGCTAATTTTTACTCGGACTAAGAATTCTCGATAAGAGGTTCGTTTCAATAGCGCCTGTCGAATTACATGAATATTTACGCCAAAACTTTACAGCAAAATAATATTTTCATTCAAGACAACAAGTACAAGTACGATATTCCACTAAAAATACAGCAAAATGTAACATACCCCTGTAATTTGGTATTTTCCGTGAGAATTTCAGAAAGACCCAATTTCCTGCTTCGCAACGTTTGACCTAAGTGATGTCGTTGTTGAATATGCAGTTTCGATGGGCGTATTTCATATTTCTGTGCATATATTCACTCAATATATTCACTATGGTAATTCAATGGCGTATTTTTATTGAAATGATATAACTGGAATGCTAAGTGGTGATCATTGAAACCAAATACATTGAATAAAATAGATGTATTTACTCAGTGTGCCCCACCGTAACCAGACTTTCTGAAAATAAAAACCAAGCCAAGCTCCAAAACTTACTAAAAGCAATGAAAAACTACCGAATTCGGAGATACAGTTGTTAAACAAATTCACAGGTTACGGCAAAAAATCAAAAGACAAATGCTAAATATACAGAAATCAACTCGTTCTTACATCAACTAAAATCATGAAGTCAAAAGAGATGAAAATGCAACAGAAGTGTCTACAACGACTTATATTTATCGTTAAACTAACTGTAAATAAGTCAAATTAAAAAACAACATTGTTCAGTCTGTATCGGCCTAACATTCGATCAATACATTCAAGATCATTATATATTAAATGGAAAGTATACATAGTCAAGCAACTTTGGTGAAAACCATTATTATTTTTAAGATGAAAATGACATGAAATACAAAAAAAAGAATGATATTTGATCAACAAAAACAAATGAAAGAGTAAAATTCGTCCTTTTACCTTCGTTGACAGTGAGATTTTAAACTTTCCTGTTTAATCATGGCTTCACAACGATAAAAAAATAACAATAGAAAAGAAAAACGTTGGTTCAACGAGACCAGACGGGACTTTGAGATGTGTAAGTGTGAATGACCCTGCTCTGGCAAATCCAGCAGGCAGCACGCTAATTAGAAAGTTCAGATTAGTCTAATTTTCCCATTGATTTGGTAACCATTGAAATTTTCATTTTATAGTTTATATTTTTCTTACAACGGGAATCCAAGATGTATAAGCGTGGCCAAGATTAACTGATCAGTTACAAGCTATATACACGCTTATCCATCAATATCATTTCGGATCAGTGGAAATTTTCCACTAAACTGCTATCCAATGAGATTTTTGGATTAAACCGCTGCATTATTAACCAACTTGCTTAATGAAAATTTCATTTGTAAAAAAGACTTTGATGTTGGAAAAGAACAACAACATAACAATAATCACTCAAATTTCAAGATGTATATTAATAATAAATTTTTGAAATTTTGATTTATAAAGTTAAAGTTATTGCTCTTGTTGTTTTAGCATTCAGATTGAGAATGAAATATCAAAACGTTAACAGTTTTATTGTTGCTCCCAAATGATGGAGGTTTTTGTATGTCTGGAGCATCGCGATATTAAACAGTTGGATTCTCCAGTACATTTGTTTATGTTTCAAGTATTAAGACTGTAAATTTTCTAAAGGTCCCCGCATTTTTGAGGCTCTCTTTGTGTTGTCGAACACCCCACTAACCCTGTATTAAAAACGAAACCGTACAAACTGTAAATAATTTTTGTTACGATTGGCGCTCCATAGTAGATCACTTAAGGTGTTCTTAACTATCCAACTATGGTCATCTCTTAACTAGATGGGTCTCAAGGCATTCCCTAATCAAAGACAAATTTTGAAATTAAGATTTATGTTCATCAGAAATAAGATTTCGTGCTTTTTCAGAGCCTTTTCATGATCCTGTTCTAAACAATTTGGTATACACAGGAAACAAGTCAGGAAAGCAGGTGTATAGTAAGATAAATAGAAAATACTTATTCAAAAACAGTATTACCAAACACTGTTATCAAAAACAACCAATGAATGAGTCAGAATGACCAGTGTATTTTCCTATCCAAAAATGGCTTCCTTCTGGAAATCATAAAGTATTGGCAGCTCCAAAGGGAGGATAAGATGCAAAATTCAAATCTTATCAGAAAATGTAAATGTTCGTAAAAGCGCCATTGTGACTTTACAACATGGAAAATGTTTATGAACACATGTTTAGAATAAATTTATGATTTTCTTGAAAACAAATTACTGTTCTCATAATTTCTGCTTTCGTTGGCTATCACGTACTCCGATTCATTATTTTTTTGCAAAGATTCATAATTATTATCTTCTATATTCCTTTTCGATATGTCCAGTTCTTGATAAGTTGTATCAACAGAATTTTTCCTAACTTCAGATGGAGATTGAAACTGTTGAGTTTTTTTACTTAACCAATGTTGACGATAACGCAAAAAAAATAAAATAGAGACGAAAATTCCAAGGATAATTCCAGATGTTAAAGTTATGAAAATAATGCACCACCATTCTATTTTGCACTGTTTTACTCTCTCTTTTTCGTCATCACAAAGAACGTTGCCTAGAGAAGAAGCATGGAACTTAAAAACAAGAAAAAAAATCAAAAGAGTTTATTTGTATACAATACTAATATACATATGATAACAAGATTGGAGCATTTTGATTGAGCAATGGATAGATTGAATTGAACATTTCCATTATGTCTAAGGAAAAGGTCGAGATGTTAATTGCATTGTGTGGCCACTGCTAAAGTTTGCTATAAAAGAGCGATTTGCTTAAATTTTCTTTTAAGGATTTTTATCATCTCAGGTAGCGCATGCAAATTGAACAGAAAGAGCTAATAGTATTTTAAACATAAATATGATTTTATAGCATCGTAAATAAATTATCTTTTGTGTTTCAATCAGTAGATGAATATGTTGAAAGGAAAAATGATGTTGGAGATTCATATGTTAACAAATTTACTGGTTGGAATTCTTGACCATCAGGTGGAGATATTAATGTTCCTGAAATTGAAATTTAGCTAATATCTATGACTTATAAAAAGATATTTTAGGGAAAAAATACATCTTCTACTAACATAACAAAAGTAATTGATGTTCTTAATTCAGGTTCTATTCAAAAATTGTGAATAAAAAAATAAACTAATTAAATATTACTACTACAACAACTAAAAATACATCAAAAATCATTTAAGTAAAAAAGAAATGGATATTTGAAGTTAAATACCTTTGGCAAGACCAAGAAATGTGATCAATGTAACAGTCGAAAATACTAAATTTGTCTTTACCATTTTCACTAAAAATTAAATGATGAATTTTAATGCTTATGATCTTTGAAAATAAAATCATGAGTCAACATGATTAGTGCTGTGAAAATTCCAGTTTTTCAGCTGCGGCTTGTCAATTCTGAACTGGTAAAAATAGTCGGCGCTGCGGCCCATCTCCGGTGCACAGAACTAAACATGGTGCATCAAAATAAATAGTAATTTCTACTCGTAAATGGGCAACATTTTGCGTAGCAATATGTTCCATTAATTCTACCACAGAAATGTCTTTATCATTGCAATAAATTTTTTGTGTTTTAATTTAGCTCATTCTCAATCAATCAAAGAGATTTTGTGAAACATTCATTAATGCACTTTGTGGAAAATTAAAACACAAACCTTGAAAATCTTACGCAAACGTCGGAAATCTTTGTAAGAACGCTCAAGCAGGGGCAAAACCTGCTTTGCTTTGATCAACTGTCAAGTTCTCCAAAAGGTCTCCTCAGTTTGCATAAGCCTGTGCAAACACAGTAACACAACCAAATTTGCAGGCTAACTTTCCTAATGTTCTTAACAAAATGAACTTGAAATTTAAATCATTTAACTATGCAATTAAAGTATTTCTGTCTATACACAAACTATAAAAGAAAAATTGGTTATATATGAGGATTGACATTGTTTCAGCAAAATGAACTTTAGGAAAAGACAGTAGCTGTACAGGAAAGTAATTTTGTGTAATTCTTAAGTAATAGTGAACAGAAATTCTTCTCTTTTCAACTAAAACACTTTAGTTTTGAATGAATTTTTATCTTTTACTAACTGTTTGTAACTATTGCAACTGGCAGGGGCGGATCTAGGATTTTTCAAACATCAGTCATAAAACGTCGGAGCCGCTTCGCACCTGGAGGGGTTTGAGGCATTCTCCTCTGAGAAATTTTGAATTTCAGAGCCTTGAAAATGCCATTTTCAGCGTTTTAGAGCAATACAAAATGTATTTTGTGGGCATCGTTTTTGCGTAAAAACAACACATTTTGCTTACGTTTTTTCCAAAAAAAAAAATAATGAAGTGAACAATACTTGAATGTTATGCCAAATATTTAGGCTCATTATCATGCCAAATATATGGCTCATTAGCATGTCTAGCAACGTAAAATTTATTTTACAATAATGCTATTCCAAAACAGATACAGTCTAAAAATTTCTACCAAGTTGTCAGGCATGGACCCCCCTAGAGACCCCCATTCAAACCTCTATGTAATGAGTTAAGTTAGAAATTTGGTACTACAAGTGACAGTTCATAGATATAGAAAAGGTCAGGCTTCAAACCATGCAAGTTTATTGTAACCCTTTACCCATCTCCACATCAGTCCCAGCAAATTCACTTTTTGAGAAAAAACTCAAAATATTTTTCTGCCAAAGATTAAGCAAAAATTATCAGAGTGAAAATTTGCAGTTAAGGACAGCTTAATGCCATAAATGTTTATTGGACATTTCACTAAACTATTATCTCCTGTAAGTATATGCAAGGTGGGCTATATAGCAATCACTAGTAGCATTGTATTTGCGAATACAAACAGAATGTAACCAACATGTCTTTAATTATATAATTACATGAATGTTAAAATTGGTTCATGTGTCATGGTTACTGGTTATGATAAATATCTCTTCATATGATCAAAGCTCGTTTAAATGTAAATCTGAAATAATTTAGTTTAGAAATTATAATGATCATCAGAGAAATTACCTAGTGATCATGAAAAATACTTTGCTATTTTGCCAAATTTAATACCATTTCAGTCAAATTGTCACAATAAAAAGCTTCATGGATCAGAAGACTCAAAATCACAGGTTATAGTAAACAGCTTCCCATGTAATCAATGTTAGTTTTCTTAAATCTTAAACAATATGTAGTATAACTGTCCAATTATTGAATGATCAATGATCATAAACTGAAAAGCCCCAAACATTTGTTTATGATAAAGTAAATAATAGTATGGCGCCTTATGGCTGCAGATTTTTTGTCCATTGAAATATATTTGCATGAATGTAGGATTTCGCTGCCATATAACGGCCACGATTCCCCAAGCACTAAAGAAATCATAGCTAAAAGTCCTTCGGCAACAACAATTTTAGAAGCATTTGATATATTACATTCATGCATACACTTCACCTATCCTTTACTTACGATTTTGGATGTAAATTTCTGCTGATAAAACTCAAAACAATGTTGGCTTTCTTTTGAACATCAATGACTGAAATGTCGCTCGCGAGATCGTCTTTGCCAAGCATTTACAATTTATCCATAAATTTTTCACCCTCTTGAAAAAATTCACAGTTTCGACAGCAGCATTCATGTCATTATATGAATTTGTAAAAGATTTCCATAAATTCCATCTGATTGTAGTTTAGTTTCTATCATGCTTATAAAAATTACTATGAAATGATCAAACATTCAATTCAGACAGTGAGCTTTACTATGTTAGTTCAGTTGGCTATCAGTCGAAATCCGTCAAACCAATCACAATAAAAACAAAATTCAAATGAACCAATTGTAAGATAGCAATTGGACTCCCTTTTACGTCCGGCCACCCTATTATCAGTCGAGACCATTCCAGACTGTCCACTGATCTGGCCATTGACCAATAAAATAAGGGTTTTTGGCGTTCATAGACTCCTTTATCCGTCGAACCAGTCAAGCCACCCCGCTTATCAGTCGGTTATTCCAGGTCAATTAAAATTCAACTGATCTGGTTACCAACGAGATATTCATTGGATCAGTCATTAGTTTTCAATAATAAATAAAGCTGGATTTTTATCACGAAGTAAATGCGATAATAAAGTAAGAATAATTAATGAATTTTTAATTAACATGAATAGGTAATTTTTGAATTTCAAACATCAGTCGCGCGACTGATTTGACATACTCCAGATCCGCCCCTGTTGACATACTCCAGATCCGCCCCTGCCAACTGGAAGTTAGTTTAGTTTTCAACTCGGTCCACAGAAAAGCCCACAAGCATATATTTATTACAGGATAAGAATTAATGTAGTTGTAAACGGTTTACACGTACTTTTACTATGTTTTAATGTTTTGTCAGTTGAATTTTCATACTATTGTCAATAAAGACTGTGTTGTGTATACTGTGCTGATGACTGCCAGTAACTAAACACCCCCTAACTAAACAATACAACAGGACGTCCAAAAATATTTTCAAGAATCAAAGAAGAAATGAAAGCCAACATACTGATTTTGTATTTAATGTAGTGTTTCGTCTTGGTCTTTTAAAATTATGAAATTCAAAATGCATTAAACTTCTTAAAAAGTTTGGTTTAAAGCGACTTTAAGTTAAAGATATGTTCATCAAAGCATATCATTACAAAAAGCTGTTGTATTTTAACGTATACACTTGTGTACCATATTATTGAAGATTTTCTCGAATTCAGACTAAAACTTATTTTCCTTCACAAACACAATTTTAGTATTGGCTAATTTTTGTTGGGACTAAGAATTCTCGACAAGAGATTCGTTTCAATAGCGCCTGTGGAATTACATGAATATTTACGCCAAAACTTTACAGCAAAATAATATTTTCATCCAAGACAACAAGTACAAGTACGCTATTCCACTAAAAATGCAGCAAAACGTAACATACCCCTGTAATTTGGTTTTCTTCCGTGAGAATTTCAGAAAGACCCAATTTCCTGCTTCGCAACGTTTGACCTATGTGATGTCGTTGTTGATTATGCAGTTCAATGGGCGTATTTCATATTTCTGTGCATATATTCACGCAATATATTCACTATGGTAATTCAATGTCGTAGTTTTATTGAAATGATATAACTGTAATGCTAAGTGGTGATCATTGAACCAAAATACACTGAATAAAATAGATGTATTTAATCAGTGTGCCCCACCGTGACCAGACTTTCTGAAAGTAAAAACCAAGCCAAGCTCCAAATCTTACTAAAATCAATGAAAAACTACCGAATTCGGAGATCCAGTTGTTAAACAAATTCACAGGTTATGGCAAAAAATCAAAAGACGAATGCTAAATACACAGAAATCAACTCGTTCTTACATCAACTAAAGTCATGAAGTCAAAAGAGATGAAAATGCAACAGAAGTATCTACAACGACTTATATTTACTGTTAAACTAACTGTAAATAAGTCACATTAAAAACAACATTGTTCAGTTTGTGTCGGCCTAATTATCGATCAATACATTCAAAATCATTATCTATTAAATGGAAAGTATACATAGTCAAGCAACTTTGGTGAAAACCATTATTATTTTTAAGATGAACATGACATGAAATACAAAAAAAAGAATGATATTTGATCAACAAAAACAAATGAAAGAGTAAAATTCGTCCTTTTACCTTCGTTGACAGTGAGATTTTAAACTTTCCTGTTTAATCATGGCTTCACAACGATAAAAAAGAACAATAGAAAAGAAAAAAGTTGGTTCAACGAGACCAGACGGGACTTCGAGATGTGTATGTGTGAATGACCCTGCTCTGGCAAATCCAGCAGGCAGCACGCTAATTAGAAAGTTCAGATTAGTCTAATTTTCCCATTGATTTGGTAACCATTGAAATTTTCATTTTATAGTTTATATTTTTCTTACAACGGGAATCCAAGATGTATAAGCGTGGCCCAGCTGAACTGATCAGTTACAAGCTATATACACGTTTATCCATCAATATCATTTCGGATCAGTGGAAATTTTCCACTAAACTGCTATCCAATGAGATTTTTGCATTAAGCCGCTGCATTATTAACCAACTTGCTTAAAGAAAATTTCATTTGTAAAAAAGACTTTGATGTTAGAAAAGAACAACAACGTAACAATAATCACTCAAATTTCAAGATGTATATTAATAATAACTTTTGAAATTTTGATTTATAAAGTTAAAGTTATTGCTCTTGTTGTTTTAGTATTCAGATTGAGAATGAAATATCAAAACGTTAAAAGTTTTATTGTTGCTCCCAAATGATGGAGGTTTTTGTATGTCTGGAGCATTGCGATATTAAAGAGTCGGGATTCTCTAGTACATTTGTTTATATTTCAAGTATTAAGACTGTAAATTTTCTAAAGGTCCCCGTATTTTTTAGGCTCTCTCTTTGTGTTGTCGAACAACCCACTAACCCTGTACTAAAAATGAAACCATATAAACTGTAAACAATTTTTGTTACAATTGGCGCTCCAGTGTAGATCACTAAAGGTGTTCTTAACTATCCAACTACGGTCTTCTCTTAACAAGATGGGTCTCAAGGCATTCCCTAATCAAAGACAAATTTTGAAATTTACGATTTCGAAATTTACGAGGTTCATCAGAAATAAGATTTCGTGCTTTTTCAGGGCCTTTTCGTGATTCTGTTCTAAACAATTTGATATACACAGGAAACAAGTCAGGAAGGCAGGTGTATAGTAAGATAAATAGAAAATACTTATTCAAAAACAGTATTACCATACACTGTTATCAAAAACAACTAATGAATGAGTCAGAATGACCAGTGTATTTTCCCATCCAAAAATGGCTTCCTTCTGGAAATCATAAAGTATTGGCAGCTCCAAAGGGAGGAAAAGATGCAAAATTCAAATCTTATCAGAATATGTAAATGTTCGTAAAAGCGCCATTGCGACTTTACAACATGGAAAATGTTTATAAACACATGTTTAGAATAAATTTATGATTTTCTTGAAAACAAATTACTGTTCTCATAATTTGTTCTTTCGTCGGCTATTACGTACTCCGATTCATTTTTTTTTTTTGCAAAGATTCATAATTATCATTTTCTATATTCCTTTTCGATATGTCCAGTTCTTGATAAGTTTTATCAATTGTGTCATCCTTTGGTCGCAATGATTGATAATTATCTTCTTTATTATTAATTTTTGATAAATCCAATTCTTGATAAGTTGTATCAACAGAATTTATCCTAACTTCAGGTGGAGATTGAAATTGTTGACAATTTTTACAAAAGCAATTTTGACGATATTGAAAAACAATAGAAACCAAAATTCCAACGATAATTCCAGATGTTAAAGTTATTAAATTAATGTACCATTCTGTTTTGTACTGTTTTATTCTCTCATTTATGTCATCACAAAGAACGTTGTCTAGAGAAGAAGCATAGAACTTAAAAATATGGAAAAAATCAAAAGAGTCTATTTGTATACAATACTAATATACATATGATAACAAGATTGGAGCATTTTGATTGAGCATTGGATAGATTGAATTGAACATTTCCATTAAGTCTAAGGAAAAGGTCGAGATGTTAATTGCTTTGTGTGGCTAGAGCTAAAGTTTGTTATAAAAGAGCGATGTCTTACAAAACTTACAAGTAGCTTTCACTGTTACTTCAATAGATTTTTCATTTGTAAAACGTGGATCATTATAACTTTGTGCTTTACATGTGTAATTTCCACCATCATTCAATGTAACATTAGTGATTACTAATGTCTTATTTACAACTCCAACATCACCAAGTATGTTGTTATCTTTATCAAACCATGTGACATTAGCAGGAGGGTTACCTCCTTCACCTCTACATACACATGACACATTATCACCTTCATCCACAACCACATGAGTTGAACAATTAATTACAGCCTTTGGTTTCACTGAAATTAAAAACAAAAAATATTCCTTTCTTAAATTAGTTATGAAAAAGAAAATTAATAATGAGAATATTCGTTAGTGTTAAGTGCATTTTCTTGGGAGTGTTCGATCGATGCCCTAACCAGTCACAAGCCAGCAGGAAGCACGCTTATCAGTCTCTAAAAGTCCAGATTAGTGGAAATTTTCCACTAAACTGCTATCCAATGATTTTTGCATTAAACCACTGCATTATTAACCAACTTGCTTAATGAAAATTTCATTTGTAAAAAAGACTTTGATGTTGGAAAAGAACAACAACGTAACAATAATCACTCAACTTTCAAGATGTATATTAATAATAAATTTTGAAATTTTGAAAGTCAATCGCGTGACCGACTAGACATAAACAATATTGACTTATTATGAAGCCTAAACAACTATCGTTGGTCCTCGAAGAACTATAAACAAGTCACAGTCGTCTAAGGCACCTGATAACCTATTTAATGAGGATATGCAATTGCCAAAGTTAACAGCTAGGTGACGACAGATGCATACGTCAGCGCAGCAGGCAGCGAAAGGGGCATTTGAGGTGTAGGCTTAAGTGTCAATCATAATTGGCAGATGTAGTCTTTCAGCACAACGAATCTAAATCTCGCCAACAAAGAAAAATATATAACTATCTTCATTGTTCAGCACAATCTTGTACTATCGTGTACAAATGGGATGAAACTCATCAGTCGTAATTTGTTCATGTACAATGTAGGATACTAGCCCAACAATTGATGAAGTAAAATTTTAATTTTACCTTTGATGATAGTAAGATTTTCAAAATCAGATAAATCATTTCCCAGTTTATTTTTTGCTTCACAATGATATAAACCAGCGTGATTGAAGTTGACTGACTCAATGATGTATGTCTTTTTATTACTGACAACACGCATATTATCAGCACCATTATGATAAATTTTGTAAGTTGGTTCAGGATAACAATCAGATTTACAAGATATGGTCACTTTATGATCTTTTTTCACTGACATTGGACTGATGGTAATAATGGTTTGTTTTGGTGGATCTGTAAAGAAAAAAATTAAATTCAATATTCTACACAAACGTTTATAATGAGATCTGATATGCGGTCTTACAAACTTACAAGTAGCTTTCACTGTTACTTCAATAGATTTTTCATCTCTAAAACGTGGATCATTATAACTTTGTGCTTTACACGTGTAATTTCCACCATCATTCAATGTAACATTAGTGATTACTAATTTCTTATTTACAACTCCAACATCACCTATTATGTTGTTATCTTTATCAAACCATGTGACATTAGCAGGAGGGTTACCTCCTTCACCTCTACATACACATGACACATTATCACCTTCATTCACAACCATACGAGTTGAACAATTAATTACCACATTTGGTTTCACTGAAATGAAAAACAGAAAATTTTCAGTCAATATTCAAAAAAAAGAAAATGAATATAAGGTGAAAAGTAGATGATAAATAAAATCAAGTTATTTTAAACATAGCAAACCCCATTAGGAATTTAGGAAAGCAACATTTTACATAACTTCGATAAGTTTTATTGACTATAGGTGAATTGCAGCCGATCCCCAAGGAGCGAAGTACAAAGTTATTCTCTATCTTGGTTGAAATTTGAATGGTAAACACGAATTTCCTTTGTCAAATTCAACCATCATGTTATATATAAGAACACATTTTTATGACAAAACAAACCAATAGTTCATAATTGTCTTATTTTTACGGCATTGTGGAAAATTTGGAGGACAGAGTACTGAGAGTTTGTTTACAATTGAGAAATTTTTTAACTCCACATTTTCCACCATGCTGAGGAGCTAGATAGAAAATGCAGAGTTTCTTTATAAGCGTTTGTTTAAGCTTAGTTAAAAATCATGTTAACTATGGAAAACAATGCTGATAGTTTACGTTAACATGTTAACTATGGAAAACAATGCTGATATTTTACGTTAACATGTTAACTATGGAAAACGATGCTGATAGTTTACGTTAACATGTTAACTATGGAACACAATGCTGATAGTTTACGTTAACATGTTAACTATGGAACACAATGCTGATAGTTTACGTTAACATGTTAACTATGGAACACAATGCTGATAGTTTACGTTAACATGTTAACTATGGAACACAATGCTGATAGTTTACGTTAACATGTTAACTATGGAACACAATGCTGATAGTTTACGTTAACATGTTAACTATGGAACACAATGCTGATAGTTTACGTTAACATGTTAACTATGGAAAACAATGCTGATATTTTACGTTAACATGTTAACTATGGAAAACGATGCTGATAGTTTACGTTAACATGTTAACTATGGAACACAATGCTGATAGTTTACGTTAACATGTTAACTATGGAACACAATGCTGATAGTTTACGTTAACATGTTAACTATGGAAAACAATGCTGATATTTTACGTTAACATGTTAACTATGGAAAACGATGCTGATAGTTTACGTTAACATGTTAACTATGGAACACAATGCTGATAGTTTACGTTAACATGTTAACTATGGAACACAATGCTGATAGTTTACGTTAACATGTTAACTATGGAACACAATGCTGATAGTTTACGTTAACATGTTAACTATGGAAAACAATGCTGATAGTTTACGTTAACATGTTAACTATGGAACACAATGCTGATAGTTTACGTTAACATGTTAACTATGGAAAACAATGCTGATTTTACGTTAACATGTTAACTATGGAAAACGATGCTGATAGTTTACGTTAACATGTTAACTATGGAACACAATGCTGATAGTTTACGTTAACATGTTAACTATGGAACACAATGCTGATAGTTTACGTTAACATGTTAACTATGGAAAACAATGCTGATATTTTACGTTAACATGTTAACTATGGAAACGATGCTGATAGTTTACGTTAACATGTTAACTATGGAACACAATGCTGATAGTTTACGTTAACATGTTAACTATGGAACACAATGCTGATAGTTTACGTTAACATGTTAACTATGGAACACAATGCTGATAGTTTACGTTAACATGTTAACTATGGAAAACAATGCTGATAGTTTACGTTAACATGTTAACTATGGAACACAATGCTGATAGTTTACGTTAACATGTTAACTATGGAAAACAATGCTGATAGTTTACGTTAACATGTTAACTATGGAAAACAATGCTGATAGTTTACGTTAACATGTTAACTATGGAAAACAATGCTGATAGTTTACGTTAACATGTTAACTATGGAAAACAATGCTGATAGTTTACGTTAACATGTTAACTATGGAACACAATGCTGATAGTTTACGTTAACATGTTAACTATGGAAAACAATGCTGATAGTTTACGTTAAACAATCCAATAGTAATTAAAACAGAGACTTTATCGTGGTGACAAATTTGAATATCGCCTTAAAGAGAGCAAATGCAATGGTAAATAACCACGAAACCCTAGATAAAACGGAGAACAAAAAAAAACTAACAAAAGAAAACAAAGAAAAAATCAAGAGTTCAGAAAAGAACCGTTTTAGAATTAGAGCATTAACCTAAAAATTCTGAAAATAACTGTTTTAGAAGTTTAAGACACTATGCATTTTGGCAGACAACTCGTAAGGTGTCAACGTCTGCTATCTGTTAAGAGTGACTCAAGTTGTATTTATATAGCAGTTGTTTTAATGATGACTACTCAAGCGTAGGAGGACGAGTCCTCATCAAAATAAAGCCAATTTGAAAATAAACTGCTTCTATCGACAAAGGACCCGATCATTAAGCTTATTACATAGCGCCTTCATCGTTTTTAGAGAAAAAGCAGACTTAAGACATTTTATGATTTAAGACATTGTGGACGGTCTTGAGTACCAGCACAGAGAGAACACAGTCCGTAATTATCTAAAGCCAATTTCATGCCAACTATTTGACTTTGGATTGAGTAGACTGTTGGATGGTCAAACATGGACATGGTCCATCGTAAAATGGAGAACGGACGAAATTAACATGGTTCTCTTTTTTATATGGCACCAGAAATCCTTGGTCAATTAACAATGGCATGCCAGGATAGCTTGAAAAAGGCGGTTATATTGAGTCTCTAGGTATTATGGCATTTGCAATGATAAATCCAAAAGTAAGCTATCCTTACTGTAAAGAATTCGAATACTCGGTGGCTTTCTTGGACAGTAAGCCTTAAAAACTCACTCGTCAGCTCAAAAGACACTCAAAAGACTTAAATCAAAGCACTGCATATGAAGGATCTGATGTTAATCTTGTCTAAAGGAGGCTCCCTACAGTTACTAAGCAGGAGACTGGTGATAATTCGCATGCGCATACTGTGCTCATGTCGAGTGGATTTTTTTTACACTAGCACTGTAACATTATGAAATCGTGTAAGCATGGATAGACTGTTCTTTGTTCGGCGAGACATAATAGTGATATTACCAGTTGATCAATTGATATCAAATTTTATACCACAAAAATCGAAAGTGGTATCAATAACTAATTTTTTGTCCTATACTCAAATGTAGTAAAATCTGTGATACAAACACTTTAACATAGATTATTCAAATCAAAAGATGCCTTATAATTTCCTTTTTAAATTAAAACAAAACAAAACAAGTCTTCGCATTTGTCTTCGCTCAACGGCTCAAGTATTTAGCTACAGGATTCCAGACTGCGGTCATATATCGTATAATTACGCCCGATGCTAAAGCTACTTAGATTACATGAAAGGCTTGGATAACCCCGCTGCTAAGTTAAAAATAATAAATACAACTTACTTGCAATAGACACGTTTAC